AATTAGATAGATTGACAGAGAGCAACAATGGGCTCAACCACAACAATTTTGAGGATGGACCAGGACCGGGCAGTGTCTTGTTTCTGTTGTTCATTAAGATCGCTAAGAGTTGGAACCAACTCAGTGCAGCTAACAATGAGCTCAGCTACCATGGTGGGCAACTGGACTTAACCCCATGGAGAAAACACTGAGAAGTAGTCTAAACCACATACCTTAGAATCATCCCAACCAAGGGATGAGGGAGATGGGTTATTCATATACCAACTCCTAATAGTCTGTTCCAACGTCAGGCCAAGTGGTCTGTTCTGTGGTTCTGCAGAGATGCAGAAACTGGCCGGTGGAACTTTGCTGGAGTGCACTGAAAGGTCCCAAGGGTAAGGCTGGGGTGGTGATAGCAGATGCTAGATTTTCACCTCAGACTCCGGTGCTGGCTGCTTTCTACCCAGCACAACCCCTTTCTTCCAGCAGTAACCTCTGATTTTAGGTGGGAATCAACTCCTCCCCCTCATGGATATGGATAATTCATGCTGGTTGCCAGGTCCCATCCATACACGAGATGTGGGGAAAGGCAGCATCAGTTTCAGCAGCCACTTGCAACAGTGTCCTGAAACTCTCACAGTGAGTCCACGTGGCTTGGGTGGGGCTTCACTCTTCACTGTTGGCCTAGCCTAAGCCAGTCAGCAGCTTCCCCATCCCTTACAAAATATATATGATTCTGTATTGTTTAGGACTTTACCAAACATGATGTTCTTTTCTAGGAAATATGTAACTGAAATTAGACAAGTGATACTGGTGTCGCAGGTATAAGAAAACTGGATTGTTATTATATACCACAACACTGCTCAAGGTAACCTGATTGAGAAAATTTATAGTATTTTCATGTGTGTTCTGCTAAACAAGACTTTGCTACTTGGATGTGAATCTGCCAGGGCCTGTAATTTGATGTCCTGCAGAGAATTCATTATCAAAACTTGAAATACAGCTAAAAATGCTTCTTCTTGTTAAGCGCCGTCAAGTCAATTCCGACTCATGGCAACCCTGCATAGGGTTTCCAAGAAGTGAGTGGTAAGTTTGAACCGCTGACCTTGTGGTCCAGTGCTTTATTCCAGAGTCACACCAGGACTCCTTAAAATGCTTAATGGGACTTAATTATGTCTGTAAATGGGGTTAATTAAGGGAATTTAACCTGTTAAATGTTCAATATTAAAGGGCAAGTAAGAGTGTTTTAATTTTTAGGGGAAAATTGAATTATCAGCATAACACATGTACAATAACCTTAAAAACTTAAAAAAAGAATTAGGTGTTTAACCTTTTCCCTCTTTATAAGACTGAAAATTAACTCCAAGTAACTATAGTCATTTGCACACACATAAGCAACTTGAACATTGGGAAACTAAGGACTGAAGTGTATGAGAGTTCACAAGTCAGAGACATACTTGGTGTATGTGAAACAGAACAGTCAAAAAGTGGAGTCTACCTGGTGTGGCACTGTGGGTTAATGTGCCAGACTGCAAAGCTGTTGGAACTGCAAGGTCGGCGGTTCAAGCTTACCAGCTGCTCCTTGGAAACCCTATACAGGGTCGCTATGGATCAGAATTGACTCAACGGCACTTCACAACAACAACTCCATTTTATAGCCTTGACATGAGTCTAGAACCCATATCTAACAATAGTTTCTCTAACCCAGGGGTGGGGAATGTCTGGCCCGAAATCATTTGGTCTGTCCCTGCCAAGGCAAATGCAGTTCCGGCCATCATATTGTTGTTGTTAAGTGCCATTGAGTTGGTTACAACTCATAGGGACCCTGTGTAGGGCTTCCAAGAAGTGTCTGGTGAGCTTGAACCGCCTACCTTGTGGTTCCAACCAACCTTGCAGTCCATCACATTAACCCGCAGCACCACACCAAGACTCCAGCCATCACACTGCCACTGAGTCGGTTTCGACTCATAGAGACCCTGTACAGGGTATCCAAGGCTGTAAATCTTTATGGGAGCAGAAAGACTCATTTTTCTCCCATGGAACAGCTGGTAGTTTCGAACTGCTGACCTTGCGGTTTGCAGCCCAATTCATAACCACACTACCAGAGCTCCTTGGCACATTACATTAGGGGTGAGTTAATTAAATGACTAAATATAGCAGGCTAATTTTTAAGCTGATAATTTTGTATGGCCCGTGAATGACGTTACCACCCCTGCTGTAACCATATCCCATGAAGGAGACAGTGTTTCCCCTTGGGGCCTGCCAGGTGCAGGACATCAGTTTATTCCCAGAGGCTCTTTCCTCTATGACCTAACGGATGGAAGATATGAGAAGCAGTTTTGATAGCAGTTAACCTGGAAAACCGGTCTTGTCCTGCCAAGGTCCTGTGATCATACGCTTGTATTTAACTAAGCATGTAATACCATATATATCAGGGAACTTCAAGTTGTTCGTGGAAAAATTCCATTATCTTTTCATTCCATTTTCCCATGAACTTTTTGAAACCTCCCTTGAATGAATGAACCAGCCTCTAGCCTATTAAAGGAATAAACTAAGATTTTTCCAACACATCGAGTTCAATTGTTCAGAGTGGCGAAATTTTCAGCTTGTTATGGTAAAGATGCACATGACCGTGATGACAAGCGCATCATCATGTGCGACTCCTCAGAGACCCAGCTTGGTTCTTCTTCAGTGTCTCTTCTTCAAGTTGTACTTGATTTTATTGTCAATTTTCATTCAAATCCTTTAGAGCTTGGGATGATTCTGCTTTTGCTTCTTGGTTAAGTATCTCTTTGGGCCTGAAAGTCTTAGGGAAGATAGAGTAATTACGGGGTTAGCCACACACAACACAATGGCGGGAAAAGGGAGAGTGCTCTTTCAGAAGATTTGACTCTCTGGGGACCAAACTCTGGCCTCGTTCCACAGAGCTTTAATCATAGCAGACTCACAGTGAACATTTACTCAACTTCCTACCAGACAGCGGGTAAAAACTATAGGAATGTTTCTCAAAACAAATGCCACCCTCTCTTCACGCCGTTTCCCCAGCAGTCCTCTTCCCTAGACCCCAGGTGGTCAGAGAAGTCCTAGTGTGACACTCTAGGATAAGCACTGGATTGCTAACTGAAGGGTAGCAAACCCACCAGCCGCTCCTCAGAAACTCTGTACTGGGTCGCTATGTGTTAGAACCAACTCGATGGCACTTTGACAATAGGTGTTCCAGAAATTCTCTGAACTTCTAATTCTTATACAAGAAGACCTCAACTGAAGACTGTTGTCACCTTTGGCCCCAGTAGGTTCTGGTTTATTTTCACTCCCCTTCACTGAGAAGATATATCATGTTCAGGAGACTTATATTTAGGAGGTCCCTAAAAAAAATCTTGCAAAAGTTAAACTAAGATTGACCATAGTCAATATTTAATGCACTGGTGTTCTATTAGTTCTATGTGCTACAGTATCAAAACTAGACAATAGAATTATCATCAACATTTAACAGAGAAGGCACTGGCAATGCAGCTTGCCCATCTTGGAGATGGCATGGCAGTCATGACGATAAACTCTGACGTCTGTCTCCTGAGATCCAGTTCTTCACTACTGCTGTATTAAATTGTTTAGCTCTTAGACACAGCCATAACTTGCACAGATTTATGGCTTCAGTTACTAATCTGCATTTCCACAGGCCACAGAGCTTGTCACAAGTCTTTACTGTCCTGCACTCTGAGTAAAAGACAGGCGTGGGAAGGAGGAAGTGGTTAAGGAGAAAGACTGGGAGAAACTAGTACTGCTTTTGGAGTCTTAGTGTGAGGTAGACGGTTCACACACTCCACAGCTAGTAGAAAGGTTGGAGTCCACTCAGAGACTCCTGGGAAGGAATGCTTAGTGATCTCAAAACCATCTCAAACATCTCAAAAACCAGACACTGAAAACCCTATGAAGCAGAGTTCTATTCTGACACATCTGAGAACCTGCATGGCCAGTAAGCCAGACCCCAGGTGATTCTGAACAGCACTAGTGTGTGGGACCACATTTTGAATAGCAAGGAGTAAGAGGGCTTATGATCATGGAAGCCCTCATATATTCATGCCCTTACTTTCAATTCACAGGAGCTTTGGGAGGAAGTCACTTTTGTCCTTTTTAAAACGAAGAAACCAAAGTGTAAATTCGACAGTGCCAAGGTGAAACACTTGGACCCCTCTGGAAAACAGGAAGTAAAGAGCAAGCAAGGAGCTGTGACTGGAAGTTGCTGTTTTAATATGGTTTGTGCCAAGCAATATCAAAGTTGCCCCAGTTTCCAACTTTGTCCTGACTCTTTAATAGGTAATCCGATTAAAAAAAAAAACAAAAACGTGTGCACTGAAAAAGAGGTTAATCATACCAATTGACTTCAAAATGAAAAGACAAGCCACATAAATTCTCTTCCTTAAAAAACAGCCATTTCAAAAGATTTTCTTTAATATCATAAAATATTTTCATGGACAAGTGAGCTAGCCAACACACATGCACCACTGTGCCTTCTGACAAGATTATCCTCAGTCCCTACCCCCCACCCCCACACCAATGTGGACATGAATACAGCAGATGGAACAGAGAAAATTGAAAAAACAAACAAAAAAAAAAGGTCAATAAAAAAATGGAATATAACATTGTGCTTGGTTATTCTCCTACGTCACAACAACAACAACAAAACACTTCGGTGCAAATAGTTCATTCTTCCTCTTTTCCATTTAAGTCTGGTGGAGAAAAAAATACTTTTTCTATAATAAAATATGTGGCTTTTAAACTTTTTTTTTTAACGTACTTTTTTTTTTTTTTCTTTTTTGCAGAAAATAATTTTGTAAACTGTCACTTCGCAGGCAGGGAGGCTCGATGCCACTTGGATCCCAGCACACCGCTTTCTGGGCTGAAAGTGGGAACCAAACCCAGGCCGAAAGTGGGAAGCTGAGGCGCAGGGTGGGACTCGCTTGCGCGCACGCATGCACGCACGCACGGCGTAGGGAGTAGGGCAACTGGCCCAGAGGGGAGGGTTAGAGGTCACTCTCGCCATAGAGCGCAGTGGAGAAGGACATGTAGTCCAGAGCACCGGGCACAGCGTCGGGGCCGGTGTAGGGGGCCATTCGCGCGATGCAGTATTCGGCCTGGTCCGGCGGCAGCTCTCGGCGCAGCTCGTCCACCGTGATGTAGTTCTGCGAGAGATCAACCCTCACTTAGGGCAGCAGACCCTCCTTTTCACCCAGTCCTTCTACATCCCGAAGCCTTGTTTTGCTAAAATCATTTTTTTTTTTTAAATTGTCACATTTCCCCCATGTCAGTGCCTACTGCAACCACTCTCCAAGCTATTTCAATAGGCTATTTACACAAGTATTAATGTGTCACACTAGTCTGCAGTAACCACAGACTTGAGTCCTGTGTCCTCACACCTAGCACCCACTCAATTGGGCTCTTGAGAGGCCATGGTCAGTCTAATTTTAATGAGCTCTCTAGAAGATTCTCTAGAAGGAGCTCTGGTAGCGCAGTGGTTACAAATCGGGCTGTGAACCATAAGGTCAGCAGTTCGAAGCTACCAGCTGTTCTGCAGGAGAAAGATGAGGCTTTCTGCTCCTGTAAAGATTTACAGCCTTGGAAACCCTGTACAGGGTCGCTATGGGTCGGAACCAACTCCACGGCACTTAACAACAACAACTAGACGACTATGATGAGCATCCAGATTTGGGCATCACCGACACAGAGGGCATCCAAGTTTGGCCAGGCTGTCTTCACCTTGTTTGCAGAATGTGTCTGCTTCCCCTCCCTCGGGTGTACCTAGGGCAGGTCTATTTAGAAGAGCTTCTTGGTGGAGTTTGAAGTCACACTTCCTCCTGGAGATCTCACTCAGGGAGGGGCTTTAACTCACAAAATGCTCCTCCCCCGTGTCCTACCTCTGCCAAGAGTCCCCTAAAGAAGGGTCTGGGGGAGGAGGGCAGGGCTGCCTTCAGACCCTTCCAAATCCCAAGAGAGACCCCTTTCTGGACCTCAGTTTCCTCCTCTGCAAAGTGAGTTGCTTCAGTGAAATGGTTTCTGAGGGTCCTTCCAGCTGCCAGGTGCTACACTTTAATGAGGGGGTCCTTGCACTTAAGCACTGGACTATTAACCACAAGGTCAGTGGTTCAAACCACCAGTCACTCTTTGTAAACCCTAAACAGGACAGGGTCGCTATGAGTTGGAACTGACTCAATAGCACTTAAGAACAACTACATCATTTTTTTTTGCAGGAAGTACTGGTTGCACAGAGGTTAAAGCACTTAGTGCTAACCTAAAGGTCAGTGGTTTGAACCACCAGCCATTCTGTGGGAGGAAAATGTGGCCATCTGCTTCTATAAAGATTTCCAACCTTAGAAACTCTAGTGAGTAGTTCCACTCTGTCCTATGAGGTGGCTATGAGCCGAGGTCAACTTGATGATAATGAGACAGGCTTATGCCATTTGTAGCTGAGGCAGGCACGTCATAGGGATTCTCCTGTGAATTTTTCAGAAAGGAAACCTGGTCCTTTCTGAAGCCTGGTCCTTAGAATCAAATTTGCCCTGGATGCTCCTGGAAGTTTTGTCTATACTGCTAGAGGGATCCGGGGCTCCATCCAAAAAATAAAAAAAACATCCCACTGCCATCGAGTTGACCCTCATTCCCTGGGATAGAGAGGGTGTTGGGTTTGAGTGGCATTCAGGACCACCAATGGTCATTTCAGACAACCAGATCCTGAACTGGTATCTTGGGGTTTCCATGGAGACAGCGTCTTTGCAGCTCTTTTAGTTTGCTACTGCCCGGCAGGGTATTACAGGGTACTTGGGAGAAAGTCAAAGCAGACTGTCACTCAGGATAAAAAAATGAGACAGACAGACATGCTTCCCATCGGCCTCACTCTGCTCCTCACCTACAGTCCATGGCTGGGCCTTAGGATGGGGCCAGGATGAAGTCTGGGGTTCTTTGATGGCCTTTCCATCTCCTCACCAAACACCCCACCCCTTTCTGTCTCTCTCCACCACCTGTCATTTCTTCACTGCATGCCTGAAGAAATCCCTTACTGATTGACACACGGTGCCCCAGAAGGGGACACTTTTGAGTTAACACTGTGTCCTTGCAGCCTAGAGTGTAGAGGCGGGCCTGGGAAGACGCCGGGATTGGGGTGCTCTGGTCCCAGTCTGGTCCTCTCCCCTCCAGGTCACAGTCCACACAGCGCAGCACTCCCACAGAGCAGACCCACCTTGTCTCCAGCCAGGATTTTGAAGGAAGCCATGACCTGGTCTGCTGTGTCTGTGTCAGCCGTCTCTCGGGACATAAAGTCGATGAAGGCCTGGAATGTCACTACTCCCAGGCGGTTGGGATCCACGATGCTCATGATGCGGGCAAACTCTGCCTCTCCCTGGAGGGAACAGCCAGCCCCAGGCCTGTTAGCCTCTTGCACATGTCTGCTGGGAATATCTCAGATGGGCCTGAAGCCCCTGAGAGCTCAGAGCAGCCTGTGGCTGGAAGAGGAAGGCACAGCAGCCCCCAACTAACTGGGGTTGTCTTGAAGGTGTAAATACATACAACAACCAGCTCGGGGCTTGCCACCCACTACATGTGCCTGCATTCTCCTTGGGGCAAGCAATGCTGCTGCTACTATGATTTAACTCATTTAATCCTCGCAATAACATAAGGTAGGGCTCTTAGTATTTTCATTTTATAGATGAGAAAACTGAGGCCCACGCAGGTTAAGTAACTTGCCCAAAGTCTCACAGTCAATAAAATGGCTGAGCTGGTTCTTGCACTCAGGCAGAGTTCTGTACTCTCAGAGATTTTCTGTGTGCCAGGCCTGTGGCTTGGTACTTTATGAAACCTCTTTCATTTATCCGTATAACAGTCTTGCAGGCTGTCCTCACCTTATCTGGAGCCACAACCTAGTGAGGGTTCACTGCTTCTAGGCACTACCCATGCCCTTGGACCCTGTGCCATGCAGCGGGTAGGTTCTGATTTGTCCCATGACCCAAGAGTCAACCAACTGCCCTGCTAAGCTCCTCTCCTGCTCAGGGGCCTTGGCCTATACAAAGGACAGGCAGACTGACAATGTTGGAGTGATATCTAGGTCTGGGGTCATGGCAACAGTAGAGGAGTGGCAGGCCTGGCTGGAGCCATCACCAGGATGGAGACAGACAATTCCATGCCTCAAATTCAGTCAATCTCAAACTCGTCCTTCCTGCTGGCCTTGGGGACAGCCCAGGTGGGCCAGAACAGGAGTGAAAAGCCTGTCTCCATATTAAGTACCAGAAAGCAAACCAGCAGAGACTGAGGTGGGAAGCCAGGGACACACACAGGCCCCTGACCAAGCCTGGCCTTCAGGGTACCACTTCCCCAAGGACTGGAAACTTGAGGTTCCCCTAGGTGGGCAGGCCCTGGCTGGAGGACCTTTGTGACCAGCTGGTGGCCCCTCAGCAGGGAGGGGCCTGAGGCCATCAGACAAAGGCGGGGTTTACATTACCATGTTGTAACCCATGGAGATAAGGCAGGCGCGGAAATCATCCGTGTCCATCATGCCTGTCTTCTTCTGTGGGGCAGGGGCACCGAGAAACAAGGAGGGTTGGAAAGGCAGGGAGGAAGGGCCAGTCCAGGGCCAGAAAGAAAGGGCACAGACCACCGGGGAGGCGGAGGGAAGGCAGATTGACGGTTTGGGTGACAGGAAGGGGAGAAGAACGAGGCGGAGAAGATACAAGTACACATACAGGAAAAATGTCCACGGAAAGGAAGACAGAGCAGGGAGATGCAAAAGTCCATCCATGAATGGAGAGCGAGTGACGAAGAGAGAGGAAGGCAGGCTCCGAGGAGGTTCCCATGAGAGACACGGAGGGCAGAGATCGGAGGTCGGAGTAGTGAGAAGAGGAGCCGAGCAGGGAGGCAGGGGCAGCAGGAGAGGACGAGGTCCCGCAGCCCACAGGAAAAGGGGAGACAGGGAGTCCAGAGAGAGAGAGAGAAGAGAAAAAGGAGAAACACGCGTTACTTCTAGCCCCAGCTGCCTCCCCTGAGCGTGCTCCATGCAGGAGTCGAGTACCTGGGGGTCGTTGCCAATATCATAACCCAAGCTGATGAGGCAGGCTTTGAACTCCTCGGGACCCAGCGTGCCGGAGTGATCCTGGGGCGGCGGTGCGCCAGGCATCGAGCCATGCGGTGCCAGGGAGGTGGAGCCGTGAGGGGTGGGGTGGGCCATGCCCCAGGCAAAGGGGGCGTGTGGGGGACACACAAAGTCATGCGGGTGGACAAGGTGAAGGGGGTGGAGAGGTGAGGGAGGAGGGGAAATAAAAGTACACACGTTAGACACACGGAGGAGGTTCCAGAGGGGGCTCTCGCCCTGATGTGTGAAGCCCAGCCCCAAGGGCAGGGCCAGAGGGGAGCATGGGAGTCATGAGGGTGAAGTTCCCCCAGAAGTGTCCCAGGTTCCTTGGGGCTTCATAATTCTCCTCCCACCACCCCAAGTGCCTGAAGGGCAGTGAAGCAGGCAGGGTGGAGACAGCCCCCCAACCCCATGCTTCCACCCCTCCCAGCTAGCCTCCCACCCTCCAGGGGCCTGGAAGGGAGGAGCCCACTTAAAGCTCAGCCTCTCAGCTAGGTCTGGCATCCCCAGTGGAGAGGGCCCAAAAGATTCCCTTGATGGGTACAGGGGGCTCCTATTCCTCTGTTCACTTAAACAGCCCCTGAGGCTGAAGCTGGGGTAGGCTCACAGCCAACTCAAAGCAGGCCTTCCCTTGAGGTTATTATCCCAACTCCATATTGTTGATTCCTCAAGGTAGGAGAGCAAGGGTCAAAGGTCGAAGTCCTCTCTCAATGCAATAAGAGTGATATTCTGGGAGAGCTAATGAGGCCACAGGATGGCCTTGTAAGGACAGTCTCATGTGTGCAGTGACCTCAGCTGGCTGGGGACAGCTCCTTCCTCCTCCTCTTCTCTGGCCCCAGCAGGTCAGCCCAAGCCCTGAGCACCATCCCTCTAGAAGTGGCTCTAAGCAAGTGTGGGGGCTGGGGTGGGACTCTCACCCGGTCAAAGTGGTTAAAGGAAGCCCGGAACTCATTCATCTGCTCCTGGCTGATGCCCTTGGCATCCCGGGTCAAGATCTGGTTCTCCACCTCATTGATGGTCCTGGCGATGGTGGTGAGGAGCTGCTCCCAGCCCACTCGGATGTGCTGAGGACAGCAAGAGGCCTGTTAGCAACACAGGTCCAGCCCTGGGCCCCAGTGCACCCTTCTCCAGACCATGGAAATGGCCAAAACAATTGTCTGGATTCAGTGTCACCAGATACTAGTGTCACCAGAGAAGGGGAACGAGGACTCGGGTAGCCTCCTGGGAGAGCAGACCCTGGATGAAGAGGCGGGAAGAAAGGGGCCTGGGGACAGCAGAGGCCAGCAGTGCTAGAGGGGCTGGGCCAGAAACAGAAGTGGTAATGGAAAAGATTAAAATACATGCACACACATTAACACACATACAAGATTAAAAGGTGGGGCAAACCTCCTTCCAAGACTCAATGGGAATACAGGAGCTGACATGTGTTCTGACTGGTGGCCATGTTGATTACCGATAAGGGGAAGTGAGGGAAAAACAGCAATGAAGCTGTGAGCTAAGTCCAACCACGTTCAATAGACTCCTGTGAACCCGGGTGGAGACCTGGTTGGCCAGCAGTGTGGCAAGACCTGGGAACTCCTGGGCCCAGAGTCAGTGACATAGCCACAGAGGACTAGAGTGAAGAGTGAAGCATCCAGCTGATAAGAAGAGAGGAGGGCATATGCACAAGAACACCCACACTTGCAGATAATACCCACTTGACCTGGCTTCAATGGCTGGATGATCAGAGCTCAACTAAAAGAAGAAAAAAAAAAGAGTACTCTGTGGAATACCTAAAAGGGGTTCTAGAACTTGCCCAGTAAAACAGGCCTCTTGTGGAGCATTTGCAGAGTATAGGATATCAGGTGGAATCCTGAGTATCATCCAGAACCTTTTAAGGTGGGACATTCCCACTAGAAAGGACAAGCAGACCAGCCTGGAACAGCTAGAGTGACAGAAGACGCATCTTCAAAGAAAGATCATAAGGAAAAACCCAAAACAAAAATGGCAGTATAACTGGCTACTGCAAGAATAAGCAAGCTGTTCACTGGGAAGCCATTAAGGCAAGCAATCACATTCCTTCAGGACCAACCCCTCTCCAAGACTGAAACTCAAAGGTAACACATGAGCAGACATGTAAGCTTGCTGGCGAGCACAGTGGTCTACTGGTAAGTGGAAGAGGAGGAAAGGAAGCAATGAAGAAATGGGCTGAGTTCAACCATGGTCCATTGACTCCCATTGACCTGGAGATGAGAGAGAGAGAAGAGGAAGGGCTCCAATGTGTGGTGAGACCTGGAGACACCTGAGCCCATGGACAAGGACATAGCCACAGAGGGCTAGAGCTAAGAGTGAAGCATCCAGCTGATATGAAGTGAGGGAGATGCACAAGAACACCCAAATTTACAGATAGTACCCATCTGACAGTGAGGGAGATGCACAAGAACACCCAAATTTGCAGATAGTACCCATCTGACCTAGCCTCAATGGCTTGATAATCAGAATTCAACTAGAGGAAAATAAAAACAAAAAAACAATTTTTGATAAAGAAAACAAGGGTAAATTGCTAAAATTTGATGAACTCGACCTATACTCATGGAGGTAGTAACTCTAAATACCAACAGAGAGGGAAGGAGTCTTCACATCAAGTATCAATGCTACCGTCTTTGTACACAGGGAATAGAGGGATGGGCAACTTAGACATTGGCTACCTAAAGTGAGGGGGTGATAAAGGCATGAAGTGACTGGCTTACAAGATTTCAAGAGGGAGTTTAATTTAAGAGTGCATGGGGGAAGAAAGAGTCCCCACTCAATAGCTGTCTTCTTGTCTAGATAGGTCTGGTTAAAAAAGATGAGGACACGATTCTAATGATTCAACAGTGAGTAATTGTTATCATGACTAATTGCGACTGTCACAATTGTAAAGGTAGAAGTTTTGTAAGAAAAATGGGGGAGTAGTTAATCTTACAGTCCAGAAATGAAGGATCCTAGGACTATCAAGGGAGACAAGCACAAGCAGAATACGGGACCTTATCCAGAGAAGCTATGACACCAGAGATGGAGGCAAAGATGGGGACATCGAGACAGGGAGCAGCTGAGGACTCTACAGTCATGGAAGAGAGGGACTAAGAGATGGTGCCCACGAGGCAGACTTGCAGAATGTACCTTTTGTTGGTATCAATTATTATATATGCCTCAGTGTTTATTTTTTTAAAAAAGAGCTAAAATGAATAGAGAGAAATACTGTTAACTGATGGTACATGGAGGGGAATATAATCATTGTGATGAAACATGTTGTATGATTTGTTGAATGTAAAACTGATGATCTGCCCTGTAAACTTTCACTCAATCCACAATAAAAGCTTAAAGAAAAAAAAAAAAAGACTAAGAAAAAGAACCCATACTAAAAGGGGGAAAAAAATTTCTTTGCTGGTTACTGGGATGTAGTGGTGGGGTGAGGGGAGGGAGAGGAAGGTAGAGCACAGGGTAGGGAATAGATACCAGATAGTTTGGGTGCTGGGGAGGGGGCAATACACAAGAAAGGGGTGGGGAATAGAAGAACAAGGCAGATGGGAGAACAATTAGGCAGGTTTTCATGGGATAAGTGGGACAGAGGTAAATAATGATGTATGCACAACTTTGGAACAACAGGGCTCTGGGATATAGGGATTGAGGCATGATTTGAGTGGGTAAAAGGGGGAAATAATGTTAAGATGCTTGGCTGTCTTTTGAATCTTGGTTTCCCTTGCATACCATTATAAAAAAGATGCTTGAGAGAAAGGAATAGTCAGAAATATCACCATAGAAAGCTTGTAAGCCCATCTTTTGCCTATTGGAATACCTAAAATGGGGCTATAACGTGCCCAGTGAAGGAGGCTTCCTGCAGAGCCTCTGCATTGCATAAGACACTAGGTAGAATCCTGAACCCCATCCTGAATATTCTGAGGTGGGAAATTTCCACTTGAAAGGACAAGCAGACCAGCCTGGAGTGGCTAGAAGAACAGAAGATACTTCTTGAAAGAAAGATAGACAGGAAAAATACAAAGCAATAATGGCAGTTTGACTGACTACTACAAGAACGAGCAAGTTGCTCACCCAAGGAGACATCAAGGCAAGTGGTTGGGTCCTCTCAGGGCAAACTCCCTTCCAAGACTAAGACTCAAGGGAAAAACACGAGCAGACATGCGCTCTGACTGGTGACCACATTGGTCACCGATAAGAGGAAAACAGCAATAAAGCTGCGAGCTAAGTCATACCATGTTTAAATGTTCAATAGACTCCTGTGAACCTGGGTGGAGACCTGACTGGCAAGAAATATGGCAAGACCTGGGGACTCCTGGGCCCAGAGTCAGTGACATAGCCACAGAGGACTAGAGTGGAGAGTGAAGCATCCAGCTGATAAGAAGAGAGGGCATATGCAAAAGAACACCCATACTTGCAGATATTACCCACTTGACTTGGCTTCAATGACTGGATGAACAGAGCTCAACTAGAAGAAAAAAGAGGGGAAAAAAAGAGTAATCTGATACAGTTTGATGAACCTGACCTACATCTATAAAAAAGAGGGAACAAATCTTTACAGTGAGGATCATGGGTGGGCCCCCTTGATATACAAGGTAGACAGGGATGGGCAATTTGGACATTGGTTACCCAAAATGGGGGAGCTACAAAGGCAATAAGTGACTGGCTTACAAGCTTTCAAGAGGGAGCCTAGATCCAGAGGACATGGAGGAAGGTAGAATCTCCACTGAGTACTATCCATTCTGTCAGGGCAGGGCTGATGAAAGGAGACATGAACAATTGCTATCAGGACTGACTGTGAGGGTTGGAAATGTAAAGGTAGACATTGTGTAGCAAAAGGAAGGGAGTGGTTGACTTTGCAGTCCAGGAGCGGAGGCCCCTGGGACCATCAAGGGAGCAGAGAGAGTGCGGGACCCTACCCAGAGAAAGTGACGCCAGACACAGGCAGAGACGATGACGTGGAGAGATGGAGCAGCTGGGGACTGTAGACTCAAAGAGGGAGAGGGGGTGTATGCTGACGACTGGGGTGCAGGCTTGCAGGGTATACCTTATGGTTGGTTGATGATAAATGGAGGGGACTGTAACCATGGCAATGAAAGAATATGCGATAGGATGAATGTAAAGCTAATGTTCTGCCATGTAAACTATCACATAATTCACAATAAAACATTTTTAAAAAGCTAACAAACGAAAAATCTCTGCTTCTAGAGCCCTACCCCAGACCTAATAAGCCAAATTATTAGGGTGGGGCCTGCAAATCTGCATTTTCACCAAGTTCCTCAGGAAATTAAAGAAGATTGGAGACCCAGAGCTAAAGAGTTGAAGAGAAGTGAGCAATCCTTTGACCTCAAGGTGAGAGCTTATCCTCATGTGAACATTTTCCTTGAAAGAGGGTCCCCCAGAAGCACCAGAAGCAGAAGAAGGCCAGCCCTACCCACCTCCATGGTGTAGTTGGTATGCTTGTTGTCAAAGATGAGTGCCTCCTGGATGAGCTGGTGGTCGCCCTCCAGCTGGTCCATCTTTGGCTTGTAGTTGACAATGCTCTTCTCATACTGCCGCAGGTGGTTGAGCTGGTCCTCCAGGGTTCCGTGCATCTCGATGGAGATCCTCCCGATCTCCTGCTCATCAGCGAGGAGGGACCTTGTCAATCCCCACATCCCCATCCCCAGCCCAGCCCTAGAGAGCCCGTCACCTGCAATTAGTAGGTCCAAAGCAGGACACACTCAGTACGGGTGCTCAACCATGGCCAAGGCCACACCTGTGACCTTGGTATGGGACTAGTTCCTTAAGGTGCACACAAGCAATGTTATCACTGGATGAAACAGTTTCTCAGGTAGGTGCTTGGTGCTTGTCAATGATAGGAAGGGGATGCAAGGTCAAGGTCAGTCAGAGGATAGTGGCAGTTTCTAACCTTCATGTTCACTCCCTTGCTTGCCATTTAAATCCCCTTCCCAAAGCTCATTTCCAACCACTGCCCGTCTCAGGGAGCCTGTGCCTACTACACCACGCTCCTTCCAGTTTCAGCAAACCTAGGTCACCCCAGCAGCCACGTCCCCACTCCTTGCAGCTCTGCTTCATGGGATGCCTGTTTTGGTCCACCTGAATCCCACCCATCTCAACAGGCCTGAACTCCCATCTCTGTCACTCACTCATGTACACACATTTTGGTGTGAAACATTTCCTGTCCACTCAATTTAACCCAGCAAATTCTTCCTGAGCATCAACTCTACACCATGTGCTAAGCAGATGGTAAAGGTGGTGGGGTTCACATATGGGAACTTGATGTGGTCTCTATCTTCAAGGGGCTCAGAGGCTACACCCTTGTGAAGTGTTGTCACCTCCCTGATCTCCTATAACATCTCATTTGCTGACCCACACAACTGAGCACAAAATTCTATGCTCCATCAAGGTTTTGTTCTCTTTCTGGGAAGACCATCCTCTTGGGAAAGTTCATTGTTAGAAAGGTCAACTAGATAAATCAAACCAGTCTTTCCAAGAGCTGGTCCTTAATGGGAATTTGGGTGGCTCTAGTGGTGTCTTGTGCTGGTCTTTGCTCCCAAATCAGACCTTTCTTGCACTGGCCTCCACACCCCTCTGCAAGGTAGCAGACCAGTTATGGGTTCATGACCCACAGGTCTCCCATTGGTCCTGCTCAGGAGGGGAAGGTAAGTCTGGCTGTCTGGGATTGCTCTGGGAAGGAGTGAGAAGTTCTTAATCTTGCCTCCCATGACAGAACCCACCTCCATCTTGGTTTGGATCCAAGGTCCAATGACATTGGCCTGGGCTCCAAATTGCTTGCGTAGCCTCTCATTGTGCTGTTGGCGGGCATGCTCCTCCGTCAGAGCCTGGTCCCTCCGTGGTACCAGCTGCCGCACCTGGGGCAGGAACAACATGAGCCATTGGAGCTGGGCTGTACCATTTAACCCATATTTCAGAATAGGGTATGAAGACCCATGAGCTAAAAAGGTTGGTCAGTAATAGAACCACAGTGAAAACACAGCCTGTTCAAGACGTTATTGTTGTTAAGTGCTGTCGAGTTGTTTCTGACCCAGAGCGACCCTGTATAGGGTTTCCAGTGAGTAGCTGGTGAGCTTGAACCACCAACCTTGTGGCTCAAATAACTTTGCAGTCTAGCACATTAGCCCACAGCGCTCCACCAGGACTCAATTAATTCATTAACTTGATAAATAATAAATATTTACTTCTCGACTATTATGGGTTGAGCTGTATAGCCCAAAGATGAATCCAAATGCCAACTTCTGGTACATGTGACCATTTGTGGAAACAGTATATCTGCAGATGTAATTCAGAAAGTTAGTAATAGGGGTCCTGACCCTCTCTGATGAATACCCTTATCAAAGGAGAAGAGCCAAAGAGACATAGACACAGAGGAACGAGTCATGTGAAGACAGAGGCAGAGACTGAAGTCATGTTGCTACAAGTCAAGGAGTGTCTGCTACTACCAGAAGCCACTTGGGGCAAAGAAGGATCCTCCCGCAAGGCCTCCAGAGAACATGGCCTTCCAGAACTGTGAGAGAATACATTTCTGTTGGTTAAGCCACCAGTTGTGGTGGCTTTGTTATGACTGCCCTAAAACCAATACACTGACAATGGGAAAAGTGGAAATGATGAAAATCAACAAGAAAAAAAGAGCCAGACCCAAATTCCTGCTTTTGTGAAACTCAAGATGACTCAGCCCACAACAGCCCCCGCATCCCCTTCCACTCACATGGTCCCATTTGCCATTGATCTCCTGAGGCGTGATGGTTGTGTAAGGGTTGGTGCCCGCCATGTTGACATGGTAGGTCTGGACAATCTTTGACACCTCATTGTGGATGCCCAGGATGGCCAGGCGTTCCTTGTCGGCATCGGGGAGGGTGGCCTTGAACTGCTCGTGGGCTGTGGTCAGTCCCTGGGCAGAGACAGGGGACGTAAGATAAGCACACTCATTCAGAGGAACTGGTGTCACCTTAGGACAAGACGAGCAAGGGGAGCCCTAGAGGTTGGGGGGGCCCAGGACAACCAGGAGACTGGAAACACCCATCAAGGATATAGTAGGCCCCAGCAAGGACCAGACTACGTGAGGGACGATGGTGCACTGACTGTAAGTCACCTTCTCCCATTCATCCTTGGAATTTTGGTACAACCACAGATGGAGTGGAGTGGTACTACATGAAGTTGTAGGCAGATAAAAGAAGGCCAAAAAAGGACCTGAAGGGGCTGCGGAGGTTAGTGGGGAGAGGTGGGAGGTGAGTTGAAGGGTGGGAGCAGAAGGAAGATGAGTGAGGACCTTGATCAGGACAGGCAGTGGGAGGTGGAGGCAGGGTACAGTGGGGTCTCTGTCTAGGGTGGATAACACCTGAACACCACTGCCACCACCTCCAAACCTGTGGGATCCAAAGTGGTGGTGAAGGAGGAATGGGGAAGGAACCTCACTGTGACACAAGCCTTCCAACAAAGCCAGAACTCAGCCTTTGACGTCACATAACACCACTAATTTCACATAATGAACGGACATCATGTCGGTAAGTGACAAGTGGGTGTTTAATAAAAGCTACTGTCTGTGTAAAAAGTGGGGAACATGTCAGTAGATGCATTTGCTTATGCCCAGTCACACTGCTTATCTCTGCGGAAGGGAGCTCTGGGCTGGAGAACAAAGGTTAGCAGGGGAACCTTATTATAACCCTTTTTATGTTTAGGTTTTATATCATGCTTTTACCGAAGTCAAAATAAATCAACAAATGAAAAGGTTTCAAATCTTTAAGATCCTTGGGAGGCTATCCCTTGGTCAGGCCCAGGGGTCTGGGACATATAGATCTCTGGTCCTGCGTCCCTCTTCTAGGTGGAGCCAGAGCTCTCGGGAGGACTGGGGCCTGTGGGAAGCTTTGGGAGCCACCTGCCCACGAGGCTGTGTCCCACCTGGATCTCCTCGATGGTGTGTACAATGAAGGTGTCCTGCAGGTCCTCCATGGCCCCCTCCATCCAGTTGTTGAAGGGTGCAGCCCGCTTGGCATACTCCAAGTACAGTTGGTCAATGGTTTCCAGTAATTTCTCTGTCCGCTGGAAATGCCAAGTAGGGTGAGGGGGATGGTTAGCTGAGTGGTATTCAGAATTCCCCACCCAGCAGCCTCAAAATCTTCCTGGTCAGCTCCAAGGGCCCATGTCTGCAAACACTAGACTAACTCAGGCAGAAAAAGAAGCTTCCAGTCTCTAGCGCACATGTGGACTCTAGGGACCACCCTCTGGTTTATAAAGGTGGGGGTGTACTGGACCAGGAGGATAAGAAAAGGTGAGGGCAACACAGGAGGCACCTCTGTGAGGGCCAAGTCCAAATCCAGAGCCACTGAGAATCTTCCAGTTAGGGTAGGTGCAGCGGAGGCCCCGGGAACCCAGTGGAGTCTTTTAGGCCAAAGCAAAGAAGGTGGAGAAGCAAAACAGGGTGCAGAGAGCTGTTGTGGGCAGGTCTAGATCTTCCTCTAGAGCCCTTACCTCCAGAGCTTCCCTTCGTTTTTGAGTCAGGGCCCCCAGATTGTCCCATTGGTCACAGATCTTTTGGCAACGGGCGTTGACGCTGGGTGAGTCGTAATAGTCTAGCTCACTGGGAAGAGAACGGATTAGTCAGATGGCCCGGGTTAACTCCATGGTCTACTCTCCCTTGCCCTGGGGCTAGGGGCGCTGGAAGGGGCCGATGTGTTCCATTCATCGAGGCTTCTCTCCTCCCCAGTACCTCCTTGACTTTCAGGATACCAGCAGGGAGGAGGTAAAAGACCAACAGTCCTCTCCAAAGGCTCTCATCCAATTTTGGGTGGAGATAACACCAGTCCTGACCCTGATGTCCAATGGCAGGGTACTGCTGAGACCCAGCAAGAAGCTCAGAGCTGAGAACCTCTTGTCCTGTACCAGTTACTAGAAGGATCAAATGGCCTGTTCTAGGGAAGGACTAGTCTCTGGTTCATCCCCTACCAGGAGGCTGCCCTCATCTTTGTCTTCTTTATCAACTGCTTCCCACCTGGGTGGACTCACCCTCCTCACTTTTAACAGCTCCATGCCCCAACTCCCACAATGGCTGAGAAAGCTAAGCCCAGCTTGGCAGGGGTAGGCCTACTTGAGCTCCTGCGCGATGGCAGCGATCTGTTCCACGCGGTCCTGGTGGGCAGCCAGGTCGCTCTCAAAGGCTTCATGCTTCTTGAGCAGGGCCTTGATTTCTGAGAGAGTGGCCGTCTCGTAGTCCTTCTGCCGCAACATGGCCTCCTTGCCTGGGATCAGAGAGAAGGGCATAGGCCGGGCACCCTTAGGGTCCCACAAACTCCACTTCTGGGAAGGCTAAACCCAAGATTTTCAATGGGCTACTTGCACTACGAGAAAGCAGATGTGGAACCAGAATACCCCTCTATGGGGAACAATCACTACAGTTACTATCCTCTAAAGGGCATTTTAGAGGGCCAATAAAAGTGAAGCATGAACTTGTGTGGTAGAGCTGATTCCAACTCAAAGCAACCCTACAGGAGAGTCAAACTACCTCATAAGGTTTCCTAGGCTGTAATCTTTTGGGGGATAGATGATCAGGTCTCTTCTATGGGGCCACTGGTAGGTTTGAACTACCAATGTTTCAGATAGCAGCTGAGCGCTTAATCACTGCACCACCAGAGCTCCTGTAAGTTCATAGGCTGTACAGGAATATAGGGAACGAATAGGGGACAATACAGGAATATGGGGAATGAATAAGGGACAATGGAGCACTGGTGGCACATGGGTTAAGTTTTGGACTGTTAACTGCCAGCTTGACTATTCAAACTCTCCAGCTGCTCTGTAGAAAAAAGATGAGGCTCTCTGCTCCCATAAAGAGTTCATCTCGGACTCTCTATGGAGCATTTCTACTCTGCCCTAGAAGTCACCAGGAATGGACTCAATGCAATGACAGTGGGTTTTAATTTTGTTGTTGTTTTGGATTTGTTGTTGTTAAGTGCCATCGAGTCAGTTCCAACTCATAGTGACCCTGTATAGGGTTTCAGAGGCCTTTTTCATATTTGAGGGAGCAGAAAGTCTCTTTTTTCCCCCGCAGAGTGGCTAGCAGCATTGAACTGCCTTGTGCTCCACAGTCCAGTGCTTATTGTATGGAGACACTGCGCTCTTTGCTTCAGAAATGGCATAATGTTAACAAAGAGAACGCAGGAAACACAATGATCTCTGCCTTGTGGTATTAACCAGGAAAAAAACAAGCTGAGCACCTCAGGGGAACCCCACCTTCAGAATCTCACCAGCTATCTTGGCTGGCTGCTGGCCGCCCTGGAGGGACTGCGCCCCCCTATAACTCCAGGGCAGCCAGCCTGTGCAATTCAATCTGTACCCAATCAACAAGTAGCCACCAAGTACACAACCCTGTCTCCTGGGGTAGGAGCAGGTCCTGCATTTCTTGAATTTCTGTTTCTGTGCTTTACTAACTACACAAAGGCTTTCCATTGTGTGGATCATGACAAGCTATGGGCAACATTGCGAAGTATGAGTATTCTGGAACACATAATTGTGCTCATGAGGAATCTGTACCTGGACCAAAAGGCAATTGTTCGAATAGATCATGGGAACACTGAATGGTTTAATATTAAAAAGGTGTGCACAAGGTTGTATTCTTTCACCATACTTATTCAACCTGTATGCTGAGCAAACAATCTGAGAATCTGGGTATATGAAGAAAAATGTGGCATCAGGACTGAAGGAAGACTCATTAACAACATGCGATATACAGATAATACAACCTTGCTTGCTGAAAGTGAAGAGAACTTAAAACATTTACTGATGAAGATCAAAGAGCACAGCCTTTGGTATGGATTACATCTCAATGTAAAGAAAATAAAAATCCTCACTGGACTAATAAACAACATTTTTATCAATGGAGAAAAGATTGAAGTTGTCAAGGACTTCATTGTATGCTTGCAGCCGTTTCTGTATTACCTTTAGTAAAACCTTACTCGCATGGGATATCAAAGATATTGTCTGATGATTTCCACATTTCGTTGGTTCACCTCTCTTTGGAATGGGTACAAATATGGATCTCCTCCAATCAGTTGGCCAGATAGCTGTCTTCAATGCACCTTGGACTTCTTTCTTCAGTATCATTGGCTCTTAATCATATGCTACCTCTTGAAATGGTTGAACATCAACCATTTCCTTTTGGTACAGTGAATCTGTGTATTCCTTCCATCTTCTTTTGATGCTTTTGCATCATTCAATAATTTTCTCAGAGAATCCTTCAATAGTGAGAGTCGAGGCTTAAATTTTTTCTTCAGTTCCTCCAACTTGAGAAATTCTGAGTGTGTTCTTCCATTTTGGTTTTCTGATTCCAAATCTTTGCATATATCGTTGTAATATCTGACTTTGTCTTCTCAAGCTGACCTTTGAAATTTTCTGTTCAGCTCTTGTAACTCCTCTTTCTTCCATTTGATTTAGCATCTCTGCACTGGAGAGCAAGTTTCAGTGTCTCTTCTGACATCCATTTTTTATCTTTTTCTTCTTTCTTGTTTTCTCAATGACTTTGCTTTCTTCCTGTATGATGTTCTTGATGTCGGCACAAAGTGATCGGCTTACAAGGTTTCAAAAAAGGGAGTTTATGTTAAGACTGTGTAAGGAAAGATAGAGTCCCCACTGAATAGTTTTCATCTTACCTAGAAGGGTCTTGTAAAAAGAGATAAGGATAAGATTCTTATGATTCAATAGTGAGTAATTGTTATCATGACTAATTGCAACTGTCACAATTGTAAAGGTAGAAGTTTTGCAACAAAAACGGAGTAGTTAATCTTTCAGTCCAGAAACAGAGGACTCTAGGACCATCAAAGGAGAAGAGCACAAGTGGAATGTGAGCACTTATCCAGAGAAGCAGCAACACCAGAGATGGAGGCAGAGATGGGGACATGGAGACAGGGAGCAGCTGAGGACTCTAGATTTAAGGAAAAAGAGGGACTGAGAACTGGCGGTCAGGAGGTAGACTTGCAGAATGTACCCTCTGGTGGTTTAAATTATTATGTATGCCTGAGTGTTTTTTAAAAAGTGCTAAAATGAATATAGCGAAATACTGTTAACTGATAGTACATGGAGGGGATTATAATAATTGTAATGAAACAAGGTATATGATTTGTTGAATGTAAAACTGATGATATGCCCAATAAACTTTCACTCAATTCACAATAACAAAAAAAAAAAACACGGTTTTTGCATAGTCAATAAAGCACAAGCAACCATCAAAAAAGGAAAAAACAGACAGGAAAGAAAGAAAAGACCAAAACGCATGTCAGAAGAGACTCCAACCATTTCAAGGGGTACCAGATGACCAAGAACCAATGGTACTGAAGAAGTCCAAGATGCACTGAACGCATTGCACTGGCAAAAAACAAGTCTCCAAGAATTGCAAGAATACAAATTGAATTACTTCAAACAACTAATGTAGCACTAGAGGCACTCCCCCACCTGTGTCAAGAAATTGGAAAACAGCTACCTGGCCAACCAACTGGAAGAGATCCAGAACTGTGCTCATTCTAAAGAATGGTATTACAATGGAATGTAGAAACCATCTAACAGTATCATTAATATAAAATACAACCCAAATTTTGCTAAAGATAATTCAAAAGAGCTGCAGCAGTACATTAACTGGAAGCTACCCCAAATTCAAGCTGAATTCAGAGGAGGACATGGAATGAGAGCCACTGCTGACATCAGATTGATCTTGGCTAGTAGCAGAGAATATCAGAACGATGGAGTCCTGGGTGTGGTGGGCGCTGTAGAATAAGCACTGGACCACAAGGTTGTTTGAATTGCAAGGTCGGCAGTTCAAACTCACTAGCCACTCCGGGGAAACCCTACACAATGTCGCTATGAGTCAGAACTGACTCAACAGCACTTAACAACAACCAAAAAGATGTTTATTTGTACTTTATGGACTATCCAAAGGCATTACATTGTGTGGATCAAAACAAAGTATGGATAAGATCACGAAGAATGGGTATTCCAGACACTTAATTATGCTAATGAGAAACCTGTACGTAGACCAAGAGTAGTAACTACTGAATAGTTTTAAATCAAGAAAGGTGTGCATCAGGATTGTATTCTTTCACCACACTTATTCAATCTGTATGCTAAGAAAATAATCTGAGAAAGTGGATTATATGAAGAGTGTAGGATCAGGATTGAAGGAAGACTCAGCAGCAACCTGAGATATGTAGACACAACCTTACTTGTTGGAATGAAGAGGACTTAAAATACTTGCTGATAAAGATCAAAGACTAGAGCCTTCAGTATGGATTGTACCTCAGAGTAAAGAGAACAAAAGCCCTCACAATTGGACCAATAAATAACATCATGATAAACAGAGAAAACACTGAAGTTGTTTAAGATTTCATTTTATTTGGACCTGCAATCAATACTCAGGGAAGCAACAGTCAAAAACCACGCATTGTAGGCAAATCTGCTGCAAAAGACCTCTTTAAAGTGTTAAATAGCAAAGATGTCACTTTGAAGACTAAGGTCTAACACAAGTCATGGTATTTTCAATTGTCTCACATTCATGAGAAAGCTAGACAATGAATAAGGAAGATCAGAGAAGGACTGATGCATTCGAATTATGGTGTTTGAGAAGAATATTGACAGTACCACAGACTGCCAGAAGAACAAACAAATCTGTGTTGGAAGAAGCACAGCCAGAATGCTCCTCAGAAACCAGGATGGCGAGACTTTGTCTCTTATACTTAGGACATGTTTGTCAGGAGGGACTACTCCCTGCTTGGTAAAATGGAGGGTCAGAGAAAAAGAGGATGGATTGGCAAAGTGGCAGCATCAATGGGCTCAAGTGTGGCAACGATAGTGAGGTTGGCCCAGGATCAGGCAGTGTTTTGTTCTGCTGTGCATAAGGTCACTATGAGTCAGTACCGACTCAATGGCACCTAACAACCACAACAAAACTGTGAGAATAAATTTGTTTGTTAAAGCCATGTGCTTGCAGTATTTCAGTTATAGTAACAACAGATTAATTAAGCATCAGGGAGCAAGTTCTACTCTGACACATGGAGTCGACAACTGTTTTCTCTAAGTGGTTGAGTTGGGATCCGAAGTCCAGCTAGGCTCACTTACTCAGGAAGAGAAATAAATACAAGAGGACTTCAAAAAATTCATAGAAAAATTCCTTTATTTTTCAATTCCATTTTCTAAGAATTTTTTGAAGTCCCTTCATATTACTGTGACAACAACAAGTAAAATTTGGATAGCACTGTACTAGGCTCGGATGGCTTCTCAGTACTTAATATAGGTGAACTCACTTCACTCTCATAACCCCATGAGATAGATACTATTAGTATTCCCACTTTGCAGCTGCGAAAACCAAGGCAACCAAAAGGCTATGGAATTAGCCTACCATTACATGGTAAGAGATACTACCCGATAAAAAAACAAGCCAAGAGAGGAGTCATGGCTGTTGGCTAGGCAGAGAGAGTAAGAAAGCCAGAGGGGTCAGGGAGGCAGGAGGCTGAGCTGGGCTGGGCTGGCCTTACCGTCCGTCCAGACCTCGTGGATAGAGGCCTTCTGTCGGAATTTCTCTGCCAGATGGTCAAGTCGCTCCAGCCTCCGGATCTCATTCAGCAGCCATTCTTCATAGCCCTTCTCTGCCTGCTCCAGGCAACCCCAGGCGTTGTTAATGTCCTGTGGGTACAGGGGGCTACAAGGTCAGGGCCGCAACTGGCCCCGGAAGCCCCTCAGCTGTGCCATGCTTCTTGGAGGGAATCTTTTCCCTATCCCCATTTGCCTCCCCCACCATGCACCCTGGTGCCAACCTGTGTTTACCTGAAGGAGGGGGCCTTTTTCTACTTTGCACAGAGCACTCTTTAGGCACCTAAAAGCTTCCGACTGATTCCTGGGATCCATGAAGAAAGGACTGCAGTTTTCTAAATCGTACACTCAACACTAAAGGCCTATAAATACTCCCCTGGGATCCTACTGCTTTTCAATGCTGTTTGCACATTTCATCCATTCCTGGCCACCTACGCCCACACGCCCCATTACACTGTCTCCTAGTGAATTTATTCAAGTCTCTTTCTGCATCCTCCCTGGTTCAAAAGCTGTCCCAAGGACCAGGGACAGGGAGAGCCGTAACATTAAACATTAACATAAAAGATAGCTTAATGACATGGAAAGCTGCTCACATTTGCTGATTTTGTTCATTTCTATCTTTGAAATATCCTACACAAAACCCTATTACTTGTTTCAAATAATAATAGGATCTTTTAAAAGTGCTTAAAGGAAGTCTACAGAAACAAAAATGATCTTTATTCCTAGTGAAGAGCGCCTTGTTTGCATCAGAAGGCATTGTTGCTTCAAAGATGACTGGGGGGTGGGGCAGGGGTGCTGGAAGGTGTGGAGCAGATGCTCAGGGGTCTGGAAGGGCAAGCCTAGGCTGCATGGCTAGTGAGGAGGCCCCATAGTACTGCACACAGTCCAGCATCAAGCCTGGGTGATAATCTGGAAAGGGGTGAGGAAACAGTTCATGAGGTTTAGGAGGCGTGTACGTGAGAGTACAGAAACCCCACTAACCCATGCCGCGGCACCTGACTATGACCAGGAGTCCCTCAGGATGGAGGTATATACACAGGCAGGGTGCACGGGCTAGAGCTTGCCCTGTGGGTGCTCACCGAAACCATCCTGCCCTCAGAGGGCATGAAGGCGGGCCGGTTACTGAGGCGTAGCTTGGTCTGCAGCGTGTTGAAGCTGATCTCCAGCTGGCATTTCTCCTGCACCTTAGGTGGCTTGTGCAGGCGCCGGTAGTCTCGGAAGTCCTCCAGCTTCTGCTGCATGGCCTGCATGGTGTTCTCGGGCACCCGGTTCTCCAGCCACGGGATGGTACGGCGGATCCACTCCAGCAGCTGGGGGTGGGTGAGAGGAGGCTGGCAGGGTGCTTCCCGTACCGCAGCTCCTTGTGTTCCATGTGTCCCACAGGGGATGAAACTCATAGCAGCAGCACTCACACCCACCAGAGCTGAGTTCTACTGTTAACCGGCAGGGTTTCAGCTTCTTCATCTAGACAATGGATGGTTAACAGTTGTTCCCTAAGGTCCCTGACATCTGACCTCTGAAGATTCTAGAATGTGGGTCCCCTGACTCCATCAGCACGAGGCCGCCTTCTGATTGGTTGGAGTACATACAGGTAGGGAACAGTTAGGATTGTTCTTACGTGAACCAAAGTGACTGGCGTAGAATCGGTGAAGGAAGGTATAATGAATGGTTACAAAGTACCGGGCATGTTAGGGAAACTAACTTATTTGAATAAGCACAGGAGTTCTCTGCAGTTAAATGCAGCAGTCATCCCCAAGTTACAGAGCGGACAACCTAGGTATTGCAAGTTTATGCAACTGGCCACAGTGGCCCAGCTAGAATGGCAGTGCTGGGGTCTAACCCAGAGCTTGGGCTGTGAACCACTACACTGGACAGTATAGGTCCTAAAGAGGCCAAGCCAGGCAGTTCAAAGGGTTGAATTCTTCAAGGGAAGAGCTCCAATGAGCACAAGCAGCCCAGGGTCAAATGGGCAGGGGTCATGGACTGTATGCCTCAGGAATGGGCTTAGAGGGACAGCCTCTGGGTCCCCCCATTTTTCTCTGGGGCCAGGGCAGAAGAACCAGAGGGTACCCACATCACTGGCCAATTTCTCGTAATCTTCCATGAGCTGCTCATTCTCTTGGTTGACGGCCAACACCTTGCAGATGCGGTTGGCTGCTGTCTCCGCCTGGCAACAAGACACAGAAGGTTATGATCAGCCAGCCCTGCACTGACAAGGCTGCCCCAGACACACAGCTCCATGTGGTTGGAAGGGAGTTCCTCAGGCTCTGAATGTTCAACCTCCCTCTCCTCTCTTCACTGCCCTCTTTGTTAGCCCACGGCTGGGTCTCCTGGGTCAGGTTGAACTGGGCCCCTAGAGAAGGTCTGAGCTTGAGGCCCATCATACATGTTGGGAAGAAACTAATCCAGTGATTTATCCAAATGCTCAGGCCTGGGAGAGCTAAGAACATTTGTGTCCACCCTGTCCAAAGTCCAGTGGAGGAGTCCCGGCCCCACAGCTCAGGGCCTTTGAGATCCATGGGGTCTTCAACGCTCCTCCACAAAGCCTGTGACACTAAGGGTAAGTAAGACCTCAGGCTCAGACTCAACTAGGGCAGGAGGCCCAGAAAACCCAGCATGGGAACCTCTGAGAACACAAGTCAAGACAAACAGAAAGTAAAGAATCGGAATGGCCATCCGATGCACAGCAGAAGCCCCAGGGAAACACTCTGGGGCCTCACAACTGGTGGATGATCAGGACAAAAAGGGTTTCAATTATAGTAACATGAACTGAGGCTTAGCATCAGTTAGACTTTGAAAGGAAGTTGTCAATGACTTGGAAAGGAAGATAAAAGATCTTTCCTGGAATAACTTTTCAAATAGAAACAGCCACCCAAATCAAGTGATCTGTGAGTATTCTTAAAAGCTCTTTCAAATGCAAAGTAAAAAGGCTGTGACCCATAGGGGCAATGTTGTTAAGTGTCCTCCAGTTGGGTGGACTCATAGGGACCCTGTATAAGTTTTCCCAGACTATAATCATTGTGGGAGCAGATGATTTCTCCTTTAGCCTGTAGAGTGGCTGGTGGGCTCAACAAACTGCTGACCTCGTGGTTGAAGTCCAGTGTTTATCCTATGGAGCAACCATGCTCTCCTTCTAGAACTAACAGTGGGTTAGGATTCTATAAGAACTGGACTCCTAGTGAGGCACTGTAGGAGCAATAGTTCAAACCCACCAGTTGCTCCTTGGAAACCCTATACAGGGCTTCTAAGAGGTGGAACGGACTCAGTGGCAATTAACAAAAACATGGATGATTCAAGAGTCCTCTGAAGTAGGGATCCACACCCTTAGACCCTCATCTCCTGCCCTCAACACAACACTGTCCTGGAGGTATCACGGCCACGCCTCACACAGAACTCCTGGTTATCATGCCTCCTGACCAAGGAACCATGGGGAATGTTTTAAGAGGCAATGCCTAGGAAAATTCCTCCCTGGAACCTGTCCCCAGAAGATGTGGGACCATGGAGATATATTTGGGAGTGTATGGACCCAAGAGCCACAATTACAATAACCCCAGGAACTAAAGGGGATTTAGAAGAGCGGTAACCAGTATCACCCAATACAGAGACAGTAGAGGTGGCTTCAGTTCAGAAGCAAGATTTGTTCTAGAGAAGGAAATACTCAATTTCCAAGAGAAACCTCCAAACCAAAGCAACTTTAGAAGAAAATTCTTCAGAGTCCTGCCTTCAGGCTATTCCTGCAAAAGGAGACAATTCTGCTCAGAAACCAAGTGAAAGGAACCAGAACTGACAGTTTGCTGAGATAATGAGTGAGGAATCACCAAAGGGCTGAGGAGAGATTCTGCAGCGATCAAGGCAAGAGGACAAGCTTTCAAGCACAAAGGGAAAAGATTTGTAGAAATGTGTGCTAACCTTTCCTGTGGATGCTCATATTTTGTATGACCAACAGCAATAACTTTAACTTGTACCATGATTTGTACTATTGTAAATAGATTTGGTTTTAAATTTAAAAAGTTAGTTTTTAAAAGTTCTGGGCTATTATCCTGGGAGTACTCAGCTGTCCCAAACAAAACCCAAGCCAAACTGTTAGCTTGACAGCGTCAATTTAGTTGGTATGTTGTTGAATGCTGAGTCCATTCCGACCCATAGCAACCCTGTATAGGGTTGCCAAGGAGCAGCTGGTGAGTCTGAATCACCAACCTTACAGTTCAAATGGATTTGCAGTCTGACGCATTAACCCACAGTGCCACAGTTGGTATGTTGGTGGTTATGTGCCGTGGAGTCAGTTCCGACTCATAGCGACCCTGTACAGGGTTTCCAAGGCTGTAAATCTTTACAGGAGCAGAAAGCCTCATCTTTCTCCTGCAGAACAGCTGGTAGTTTTGAACTGCTGACCTTAAGGTTCACAGCCCGATTCATAATCACTATGCATCCTCAGTCAAAACCCAGCCCCGGGTTCCTGCTAATAAATAGATGGGCAGGTCGCTCAGACCAAGGACCAGCGGGGCCCCAAGGCTGGGCCTGGGCAGGGCTGGGTACCTAGACAGAGGGGGACTGGCTTCAGAGGCTGATGGCTCAGTGTTCTCGCCACACTCCTCAGAAACCCTATACAGGGTCTATATGGGTCAGAACTGACTCTACGGCACTTAACAACAACTGCCTGGAGGAGAGCCAGGATGGAGCTAATTCGGTCTCCTGTCACATGCCCAACTATCATACCTGAAATCTTCTGTACAAAACTCCCCAGCCCTCACTGAGGACCTCACTGAGGCCCTCACTCAAACCGTGTCCTACAGCTCTGCCCTTCTACTTCAGAAGACATCAAAGTTCCAAATCTAAAAGCAGTCATTGCTGGAAGTACTTCTTTACTTAAAAAAACAAAAACAAAAAAACTACCCAAAGGGACCATGAGTTCCTTGAGGGTAGGAACAGGGTTTCTTTCCCTCTGCAGGAGGGCTTAGCCCTCTGAAGAGTCACAATAGTGAATACAGTGACTGATGACCACATTGATGGAGCCCAAGATAATTATCTAGTCCTAAAAGTACCCAAAAACCTGCATTGGAGCAGGTTCATTCCATAAGGGCTGTTTCTCAAAACTAGTCCCAGCAGACCAGAAACTTTAACACACACAATCTCTCAACGCAGTCTCAATGTAAGAGAGTGGAAAAATAGTAAAAACCCAAACCAACCTGCCAGCCAGAAGTTCAAGAATCAATCACACACCTCAGATACCATACACAGGATGGGTGCACAGAATGCGTGTGCACACACACACACACATGTGCACACATGCATCACACCCAGCTGCTTTCCCAATCCCTTCAAGAGGAGGACAGTGGAGGGGGACAGAGGGCACTACGCCTGGGCTTTGGAAGTCTTCTGATGCTGGCCCCAGCCACAGAGACAGTCAAGACTAGAAAAGCGTCAGGTGGGTGAGGGGAGGTCCTCTTCCTCTATCCAGCCTGCTTAGCTCCAATGAATTGCTCACAGCCTTAGAAGTAGGTGGGGGCAACACTAGGTAAGACCTTTGACTCAGGACATGAGGGGAACCAGTGCCACCACCCAACCCCAGCTAGTTCCCCTTTATGTAACCTTGTCCCTAGGGTGTGGACAAAAGGAGCATGAAATGGTTGCAACAGGGATGAGGGGAAAGGGAGGGGACGTAGGGGTGGTGGGATGAGATCTGGGGAAGCAGGTTGCCTCTCTTTCTCTCTCTCTCTCTCTCTCTCACACACACACACACACATACTCACTCTCTTCCAAACATCAGCCAGGACACAGGGAAGGCTTCAGAGACAAGTTAGGCCAGTGCCAACAGGCATGAAGCCCGCTGTCCTCCTCTTGCCAGGACAGAGTCCCTGAAGGAGAAGGGGAAGAGGGAGGGAGGGAGGGAGGGACCACGGCAGAGAGCTCAGCCCAGCGGTGGTCACAGACAGCAAGTGTAAGTCTCAGGGCCTGCTGCCGCTCATATCCAGGCTGAAAGGTGAGGTGGAGCAGGGCCAGAGGAGGTCAGGAAGAGACAGCCGAAGCAGAGGTGGGACAAAGAGGAAGCAGGAGGCAGGTCAGAAAGGGCTGTCTGGGAGGCCAGGCCACCCAAGTGGGAGCCCTTACTCAGGGCTGCACCAATGAGCCTTGGAAGGAAGATGAGGAGGGTTTAGTAACCCATCCAGGTGGGATTGGCCTGCTTCTAGCCTGCATGGTTCGTCTAATTTTTTAGACATCTCTTCCTCAAGACACTTCTACTGGAAAAATGGCATACTTTTTTTTTTTTTTTGCTGATTTTGTTGCTGTTGTGTGCCATGGAGTCAGTTCTGACTCATAGCAACCCTGCATAGGGTTTCCAAGGTTGTAAATCCCTATGGGAACAGAAAGCCTCATCTTTCTCCCTTGGAGTGGCTGATGGATTTGAACCACTGACAACCTTGCAGTTAATAGCCCAACATGTAATCCACTATGCCACCAGGGCTCCCCTGGTGATTTTAACAATATTCAAACCTTCGATTTCTATGGTGCAAATGGCATGCTGGTGCAGTGTGTAATCGCAGAGCTGGCCACGGCATGCCTGTATGGGGAGGATCAGGAACCGCCTTCCCTGCCCTGCTGCTGGCTAAATTCAAGAGGATGGCCTTGCTCCAGCAGGAACTGGAGATGCTGGAGGGTGCAGTCAGAAGGCAGAGCCCAGAACTGTGCTGCTAGGGGTAAGGACTCTTGGTTCAGGGTTCAGGGAAACTGCAGAGACAGGGGCACCCTTGAGTGTCCTGGCCAAGGTTTAGAATACCCTGTCCTCTTGCAAGAGGGAGAGGGGCTTCTCAGATCCTCCCTTCTGCTTCAGGGGCGACAGCCCCAAGGTGCTACTGCAGGAGTGTCTGGGGAGGCCAGAGGCAGGCCGAGGGTGCAGGGAGGGTGGGCAAGGCCAAGGGAGAGCTCACCTTCTGCGCACCTGAGAAGGCGTGGCAGTGACATGAAACATTAGGTCACATGGCCTTCCCATCCGGCCTTAGCGTGCCTACACATCTGCACAGAGAAGGAGAAGAGGTTGAGAGGATCAAGTAAGCAGCAGCAGCAGCAGCAGCAGCAGCAGCAGCAGCAGCAGCAGCAGCACAGAATAAACCAAAACAGCCATGGTGGACTGAGAAAGAACACAAGACACACGGACAGACAGAAAAGAAGGGAATGAGCAGAACGAGAGAAGATGAGCTGGTGGAAGGAGAGAGGTGGCGGGGCAGATGAGCGTCACTGGACACAGCAGCTGGGGAGGTCAGGGGAGAGGGGGCGCTCTGCGTGAGCACAGGGTCGCCCTGCAGAACAACGCAGGGAAGGCCAAGCCTGAGGCTCTAGGGCCCAGTGGTCTGGACGCTGTACTGCCTCTGTGGTACTGCTGGAGGTGAGGTGTGTGTGTGTGTGTGCACATGTGCTGCCTGAGCTAAAGCTCTAGGGCCCAGTGGTCTGGACGCTGTACTGCCTCTGTGGTCCTGCTGGGGGTGAGAGGTGTGTGTGTGTGTGTGTGTGTGCACATGTGTGTGTGCACGTGTGCTGCCTGAGCTAAAGCTCTAGGGCCTAGTGGTCTGGACACTGTACTGCCTCTGTGGTCCCACTGGGAGTGAGGTGTGTGTGTGTGTGTGTGTGTGTGTGTGTGTGTATGCACATGTGCTGCCTGAGCTAAAGCTCTAGGGTACAGTGGTCTGGACGCTGTACTGCCTCTGTGGTACTGCTGGAGGTGAGAGGTGTGCGTGTGTGTGTGTATGTGTGCATGCAAGCGTGCATGTGTGCTACCTGAGCTAAACCTCTAGCACCCAGTGGTCTGGACGCTGTACTTCCTCTGTGGTCCCATTAGGAGTGCGATGTGTGTGTGTGTGTGTGTGTGTTTGTGTGAGCACATGCACATACATGTGCTGCCTGAGCTAAAGCCTGTCTTTCACCTCAGGCTTCCTTAGCAAAACTGAAGGAGTTTGCCACTAGCCCCATGTCTACTGCTTCCCTCCCCTCCGTGGAGTTGTGCTTATGGCTGGAAAGAGGGGTACACAGAGTATAGAGTGACCATATGGGGACTCTCAGGGAGGGTAGAGAACAAGGCACCAGGCCAGAAGGGGCTGGACCAGTTTGTTAGGTCAGGCCCATCAGTAGGAGAAAGGTGGGGTCGGGGAGTTTTAGGGCACCTATGTGAAATAGGTAAGCGAAGCCAGGAGATGTATCCCTGGGCTGTGAACGTGTCCCCACATACCCAAACCTGCCTCGCCAGGGGAAGCCCTGTAGCTTCACGACAGGTGCCACCACTGCACCTTCCGAGCCTGCAGACCAGCTCAGGCTGATCTCACATAGGCAGCCCTTCCTGCTTACACCAGTCATCTGGGTTCTAGAAGGTGAACTCTCGCCTTTCTCAGAGATGTGGAGAGAGACAAAGAAAGGGTGGAGGGTCAGGGTGGGGGTAGCCAAACAAGAACACACGCCACTGTGGACCAGCTGCTACCTCGACCATCCAGGTAACTGTCATTGGGGGTGGTAGGAAGCGGGCAGAGGGCATGTTTGGGATCTGGCATAAGGTGTGCTGGATATGGAAGGAGCTGGGGACCCCAGGTACCTTCTGGGCTCCAGAGAAGGCGTGGTAGAAGCTAGACACATAAGTCATGATGGCCTTCTCGTCTGGTCGGGCTGTTCCAACAATGTCTGCAAAAAAAATATATAATATATATAAATCTGGAGTTAAAGGAGTTAAAGCCAGCTTGTGAACATAGATTCACTTCCCTCCTGACTTGATGTGAAAGGAAAGAAGGTCATGAAATCACAAAGGCTTCTGGCCAACAAGCAAAGCCTGAATCTAGCCAGTCTCCAGCACCAACGTCCATTCACAGGACAATGTAGTTAAAGGAGCAGGTTGAAAAGACATGCCCAAGGGAGCAAATGGCACAAGAAACAGCCTATGGGACAGCTGACCCATTGACTGCAAGTTCAGCGGAAGGAGAGAGAAGAGAAGGGCCATAGATTAGAAAAAACTTAAATAGAACCACCAAATGCTGTGTGGAGAGTTTGTTTGGAACCTGATAAAAACCAACCAATCCTAAAAGGACATCTGAAGACAACTAGAGAAATTTCCTTATGAATTGGGCAGTAGATGTATCAAACAATTATTATTAAGTTGTTAGGTGTGAAAATTCTTTCATTGCTGTAAGAAAACACTCATTTTTTATTTTCATGCAACGCAGCTTTTAGTAGGGGAGACAGAAATGGCATGTCCAAGAGCAAGAACGTGCTAAGGTAACACAGGAAAGCAGGAGGAGACAGAAGTGTCCCAGCAGGGGTGACACTGATCTGGGGAGAGCTTCATGGGGAGTTGACATTGAAAAGAAGGGGCCTCTTCTGCATATGGGGGTATTCATAGTATACAAACTCATGGGATGATGTATGCGGAAGTGTGCCAACAGAGACCGAGCCTCGTGCCTTTGTCTTCTAAAATTGGGGTCCATACAATCTACTCTGAGCAACCTCAAGGTTGTGGCCCTGGTGGTGGCTTTGGGGATGGTCTTTCCTGTTATGCACGTCCTGGGGTTGAGCTTCTGGGTCATCCCTCCCCACCCTCCAAAAATGATACTGGGAGGTTGGAGGAAGCGCCAATAGGCAAGGCCTGTGATGGACAGGTGTCACTCTTCCTATGTTCTGTGGCTTTGGTGATAAGCTGGTCTTCAGGCAGGAGATGAAAGAAGTCACGGACAGCTCCTCGTGGGAAGGAGGAGAGGTGGTATGGGAGAAGCAAAAGCTAGTTTCTAATCACACTCAGTGGTTATAATGTATTGCTGTTGCCAGGCTTTTTAACAATTATCCTAAGTGTGAAAAGATCTATACATTTAAGGTATATATTTTTAAAATACACAGGGGTGAGGAGAAACAAAAGGAAATGAAATTAGAGAAAATGTGATACAAATTCCAATCATTGTTCTATCTGGATAGTGGAAATATAGAGATTCATTAAACTCTTCTCTGTTTTTGTACCTGAAAAATCTCTGGAAATTTGAAATTAAAAATCCATTAGCAGTGGAAAAGTTGGGAGTGGAGGAGAAGGGTACAGGTCTTGGGCACCACCATAGCCCCTTCCTACTACCCACAGTCCCTTCCCAACTCCTCCTGAGCAGCCATATTCCAAAGTGGTGCCTGAACAGTTAGGCCCAAGAGGGCAAGCAAGGAAAAGAATCCATGGCAAGCAGGCTGGGCCACGGGGGAGTACAGAGGTGGAAACAAGACTGAGACATCCCAGCTTTCAGATACACAACACCCCTCCCAACCCCACCCCACCCCTACTTCATGGCACCCAAGCCCACATAATTTCTGGATACATTCCACCTCTGCTCACCCATCAGAGAGTCTCTGCTTGGTGAAAGGTAAAAAGCTGGGTTTTGTGGCCAGGATGAGCTGAGTTTCCAACCGAGGGCCACATCTTTTGTAAAGATGATATTGTGTCTAACCCTGTACCTGTCCCTACTAAGGTGACCCACTACAAGGTCCCAGATACACAGAGAGAAGTCAGTACTAACATTGGCTCCATCCTTCCTTCCCCTGCACGGGAACCGCTTTTTCTGGCTGGGATCTGCTGATCAAGCAGGTCTAAGTATGAAACTCGGGGATAGGGTGGGCGTGGGGGCACATCAGAAGAGTCTAGCCATGGCTCTGAGACCCCTCCTCAGAAGGCAGAGGGAGAATATGAGCCCACGAGGTGAACAAATACCACCTCCCGCCCCCGTCACAGCTAAATGAAGCAGTCTACACACCACCCTAAAGCTCAAGGGGTGAGGGCAGAACACCTCTCAGAAAAGACTCATACACATGCTGAGCAGGAGCTGGCCAATGAGGAAGACCACCCCACCCCAGAACCCTGACTCTAAGACAAAGGTTAAGAACCACCTTCAGGCAACCAATGCACAAACAGACTGCAAGGCCCTTTTCAATCAATGTCAGCTGTCCTCCCTCCAAGCCTCAGGAGACTCCAGTGTCCCTGGCAGGCAGGCAATGCCCAGGATCCTCTCAAATGAGGTCCCAGAATATCAGGCCTTCTCCCTTTCTGCCTTGGGGTGCTGGGTACCACCCTCTGTAAGCTGGAGGCCCTTCTACCTTCAGCATCCAGCATCTTGGGGATGTCCAGGTACTTTTCCGCCACATCGAAGGCTGTGTTCAAATTTGTGAGTGGGTCATCCTAGAGAGAGAAGAAGTGGGGAGTGTTATAAGGTGAGAATTGTCCTGAGGTGACCACCAGACTGGAGGGCAGAAAGGATTCTGACAACAGCCTCCTGGTTCCATGCTCAGGAACAGCTCTGGTACGGAGGGTTGGCAGCAGGGCGACAGGCTGGGGGTTTAGAATGCCATCTTATCCCCTCAAAACTCAGCCTGTCAGAAGAAATGAGGTGAAGGATATTGGCCTGGGCACACTCTGTCTCCAGCCAGGTAGGACTCATGGGTAAGTAAGCTGACATTAGTCTCCCATCTGTAACTCCAGAGAGGAGTGTCTAAGGCCCTCTGGCTCATATTCCATGGAATGCTGACGTTCCTCCAAGCAGCCACAGCCTTTTGCCTATTCTGACTGCTCCTTCCTTCTCAAGAAAATAGTAACACCAGGGAGGTATGCTCTCCTAGACCAATCACCCATACAAGATCAAAAGGGCAGTATTTGCTCTGGGATAACACTCAGAACATAGGAAGGGAAACAGAAAAGGAGGTAAGGAAGCAGGAGACACAGGGAGGAAGCAGAAGGAGCGCTGTTGCATTGTGAAGACTGCAATCAATGTTACGAAACAAAATGTGTATGAAGTGTTGAACAGAAATGTGTATGAATTGTTGGATAGAAATGTGTATGAATTGTTGGATAGAAATGTGTATGAATTGTTGGATAGAAATGTATATGAATTGTTAGATAGAAATTGTCGTCTATGAATTGTTGAATAAAAATGTGTATGAATTGTTGAATAGAAAACCATTTGCTCTGAAGACTTCCACCCAATCCCCAATACAATTTTTTAAGAAGAAAGAATGGAAACATGGTAGGGGAGATCCCTGCTGAATCTCCACTTTTCTGGGCTCCCTAGACGGACTATATGTAGCAAGCTGGGTTTAATCAGCTCAGGACTCAGTTTCCCCACTTGCTAAAGTGAGAATTATAGGGTAACAAAAGGTTAAATGCAGTATTTTCAGATACTTTCAGGAGGAAATTACTCAAAACAGACAAGGTAGAGTCCTTCTGGGGAAGTCTTCAGCAGCAGTCATGATGGTAATGACGTTGTCAAGCAGAGAATATCATGTCTGTCCAGGGCCATGAACTGTTGCTGTCAGTCCTAGGCCCAGTGCACACACCGTGTTTGTGTAATTCTCAGGAGGCCCCCGACCCCACCCCAAGGCCTGTGGAGGAAACTAGAGCATCCCAAGTCCTCATCAGCGCCCTTGGGCTTTGGGGGGAGGTGGGGGAGACTTAGCCACAGAGAAACAGGGAGAAACAGGAATAAGTCAAAAGACACAGCAGGGCAGAGTGGAGAGGGGGCTAGCTGTCATCAAAGCCCCCTGGACTCTCACCTCCCAAGTGGCTAAGGGTCCTTGAGTCTTTCGTGGGAGTCAGGAGTAGAGAGATGACCACAGAGCCCTAGCCAGTACACCTGGGCAGGGATGCGCGCACCTGCACATCAGTCACTAGAGGGCAGCAACAGTATGAGGAACCCAATGCCTTTAGCCACTTAGAGTTCCCAGCTGGGCCCAGCTTGATTTGGCCACACAGCTCTCAAGAAGGGGGGGAGTAGTTCTCAAACTGTTTTTCTGTAAAGCAACTGAGTTAGAGGGATGTTTCCTGCCCCTGATCCCGACCCCGCCTATGGGAGGGGCTGGCCTGTCTCCTATCCTTACAGTCCTTGGCACCTCTGGCAGCTTCTCTCTGTTCTGTACATGGACTTTGCAGGGAGATGGAACTTCAGCCCTGAGGTTCGGGCTAGACCTGGGGTAGCTGGATTTGCTCCCTCACAAATCCATCCTGACAGCTAACTGGTGGGCCTGACATGAGTTGCTAGAACAAGTACTGTACCAGCCCTTCTCGAAGGCACAGTGAGCTGGGAATTCTTCCCTGAACTCTCTGCTCCCCAAGGGTCAGGTGAAGTGGAGAAACACAATGCAGGTTATTTCCAGAGGCCTCCTGCCAAAAGATCTAGGCTGAGACAGGCACCATTCCAAACTGGACACTGGGAAAGGGACAATGGTCAGAGTGGCCTGGGGCAGGGCTCTTGGTATGGTTTGAATTGTATCCCTAGCAAACAGTTACATCGAAGGCTTAACCGCTATAACTGAATCTGACTCTATTTGGAAATGGGGGCTTGATTTTGTTATGAGGTCATACTGGAGAAGGTGGGCCCTAAACCTAATCCCTTCTGATTAGTGTCTTATAAAAAGAACAGAGGCACACGGGGAAGCACACCACAGGTGCATCTCTATGCAGCTAAGGACTGCCTACAGTCACCAGAAACTCGGAGAGGGTCACATGTAAGAGTTGATATGGCAGAGACCCTGGCTTGAACTTTTAGCCTCCAAAACGTGAGAAATAAATGCCTGCTCTTTAAAGCTACCCCTTTATAGTATTTTTTGGTTATAACAGCACTAGGAATCTGACACTTCTGGGATCTAGGCTGGTGTCCTTTAACCAACCCAGACACCAAAAACCACCAGGAAGCTAAATGTACAGCTCCCACTACCTTATCTGCCCCTAACACACACACCCAGGCTTAAGAAGCAAACAGCATCCTCATGCCAAAAGCTTAATTAAATTACTTTCCATCAAGTCAAATTAGAGTCATAGTGACTCCGTGTGTGTTCCATAGGATTCCTAGTGGCTGGTTTTTATGTGGATTACCAGGCCTTTCTTCCTAGGTACCTCTGGGTGGGCTTGAATTGCCAACCTTTTGGTTATCAGCCAAGATAGCTGTTTATACCACAAAAGGACTGCAAATGAAACCTAGCCATATCAACAGAAAATCATATAGCCAACCACGAACAACGAAGGAAACCAAATACTTGGTGGTGACCAGCCAGCATGGCAGAACAAGTTAGGGAAAGGGAGTGGATAAAATGTCTCTTAACATAAGCAAACTTGTAAAAGATGAAAGCAAGACATCTACTTTATAAGACCCAGAAAAAAGGAAAAACTTTGCTCTATTAACTCACCGTCCTAACAAACTTCCTCCCACAGTTGTGTTGTTGGATATGAGTATCTGAAATAGCCCGCCTGAAGACTTACCTCTGCTCTTTAAATGGAGCTGTGTGTCCCTGAGTTCACCCACTCACAAGACACCAGTAGATGTAGGGTGAGCACACGTACCTTCCGGAGCTTCCCGTAGTCAATCAGTTCTGGTCGGTGTCGGTGAATCAAAGCACAGAAGCCAAGGCCGTCTTTCCAGCTGCCCGGGAGAAAGAAGGTGGGCAAGCTGGTGAGTGAGGCTGAAAGGGGAGCCCAGGACAGGGGCCTCTCAGGGAGCCAGGAAGTCCCTTCAACATGTTGCCAATGAGAACTAACTAAGGACAAAGCACTAAGCACGGGTCTCCTTGTTCCCAGAGACAAGAAGCTGGGGGAAGACAGATGGGAAGGACTATTCCTTCCTGTTACGGACCTAGGCAATGATGGAGTCAACAATAAGTGGAGGGTTGGGTAGCTGGTCTCTGCCCCTTCCCTCATCGGGTCTGTTCCAGTTGGAACTTCCCACACACTCTCCTTGTAGGATCTTCCCAATTGCATAAGTACCACACAATGATGTATAAGGCAGTAGCTGTGTGTTCAGGACAGCTGGAAGCAGTGGGGTGGGATTCTAATGGATAATGATATCTGCTTCATACCACAAGACTGACCTAGTCAGCAGGGTCTGGAGGCTCCTGGGGAAGGCAGCTAGGTTCTGCAAGAGCCCCTCTGCCCAAGGACACTCACCTTATGTGGAAGTTCTGGATGTTGACATTTTTGTAAGGGGCTGTCTTTCTCTGACACCACAAGAGTAGCCCTTCCTTTGCCGAGGTCTCTGTGGAGAAGGGACAGTCAGAAAGGTCAGTGGAGGGATGCCCATAGAGACCTATGCTTTCCCCCAGCGGTCCACACAGGGGCCCTGCTGCTACCAAGGAGTGGAGAAACCACAGTCATCAAATCCATTTCTTTGACAAAGTTTGGAAAGTTTTTGTGAAACTAAAAGCCAACTAGGAAGTCTTTCAGAAAGCAAGATGGATTTCACATTTAAATTCAAACTTGCAGAATGTCTCCCAGACCTCCTTTCTTAATGAAATGCTGTTGCTGTGAAGGACTGTGGAACTGGTTCCAACTCATAGCGACCCTGTACAGGGTTTCTGAGAAGCAGCTGTTGGGTTTGAACAGCCAACCTTGTGGCTCGCAGTCTAGTACTGACCCTACAGTGCCACACCAGGAGTCCAGTGAGATGGTAGGGATACAAAATAAGTTGGCCACCTGTGTCAGGTCGCCATATTGGAGAAAAAGGTTTTATTGGAATGTGAAGTCTATAAAGTTGAGGAATCTCCAGAGAGGGGCACTTCCTTCCTGGGCAGTATATGGGAAGAAGGCGGAGGACTCCTAGGCATATTTTGTTTCATCTGAAACATGGGTTTTCCTGATACTTAATATAGGGGTGGATCCAGCTCTCTGTGAAGTGGTCATGTGTCATGGGCAATAAGGCAGCATTAGCCAGCAAGGGGCTCTCCTCATCAAAGGTCTGCACATCACATTTCTCTCCTGAGTTCATGTCCCTGAGATGAAGATACTAGCAAAGTGCGTCCATGAAGACCTCACTTAACGCTCAACTCACAAAACAGATGTTCTAAATGACTTTAAATAATCCCTATGAAGATAATGTAACAATTCAAGACAAAAGTAAATAACAAAGCTAATGTTCATTATGTCAAGAGTAATGTCAACTTCTGGAGTCCTGGTGTGGCGCTGTGGGTTAATGTGCCAGACTGCAAAGCTGTTTGAACTCCAAGGTCAGTGGTTCAAGCTTACCAGTTGCTCCTTGGAAACCCTACACTGGGTCACTATGGGTTGGAATCGACTTGATAGCACTTAACAACAAAAACAGCAACAATGTCAATTTCTACTCTTAGTTCAAGCTCTTCCTCGGCTACATTACAAAATAAAAACACAAACAGTTTAATCAGAGCTGACAAGAAGTCAAAGCTGTCAAGGAGATTATGTGAAAAACAAATTTAGATCCATTATTATTACCAAGAATTGGGTTCTAAGGGACTCCTGTGGCCCTTTCAAATACCAAGTCTCTATAACTTGGACTTTGACCTTCACCTTGCCCTACACTACCACCAAGTATTAAACTAAAACTGCCCTAAACAAATAAAATGTAACCTACATTGTTCTCATTTTTAAATGACTTCAAATAAAAAATACACAAGGGTGAGTCAAAAATGATCTGTACTCTGGTTATATTAAAATTCCCGTCCATAGCTGATGACATTAAGCGTGCACGTGAAATGATTCTGTAGAATAGATGGTAAATCAGCCATGGATAGCCTTTGAAATAACCCACGAGAGACTTGGATTTTGAAAAGTTTGTGTGAGATGGGTACCAAAACAATTCACGGAGGAGCATAAACAGAAGCGTTTGGAAACGTGCAAATCAAATTTGGACTAATATTTGAAAAAAGGTAAAAGTTCCTTAAAAAAATCGTTGACGAGACATGGATTCATCACTATGAGCCTGAAAGTGAACGGCAGGATATGGAATGGAAACATCCTCAACTGCTGACCAAGAAAAATGCAAAAGTCAACCACCAGCTGGAAAATCAATGCTTACAGTTTTCTGATAGTCTCAAGGGAAACTAGACAATGAATAAGTAAGACAGGAGAAGAATTGATGCATTTGAAATTATGGTATTGTAGAAAAATATTATAAAAGTACTATGGACTGCCAGAAGTTAACAACAGGTCTGGATTGGAAGAAGTACAGCCAGTATGCTCCTTGGAAGTCAGATGGCCAGACTTCATCTCTCATACTTTGGATAAATTATCAGGAGAGACCAATCCTTGGTGGAGGACATCATGCTTTGTAAAGTGTTGTTGTTGTTGTTAAGTGCCGTTGAGTCAGTTCCATAGCGGTTTCCTAAGAGCGGCTGGTGAGCTTGAACTTCCAACCTTGCAGCCCAAACCTACTTTGCAGTCCAGCACATTAAACCACAGTGAAAAGAGGATGACCCCCAAAGATGGACTGACATGCTGGCAGCAGCAATGGCTCAGATGTAACAACCCATGTGAGGTCAGCGCAGGACTGGGCAGCATTTCGTTCATAGGGTAGCTATGAGTCGGAACTGACTTAACAACAGCTCGTCTTTTTAATGTTTATTTTCGTAAGTGTGTCTTATGTGTACAAAGGGACTTTAAAATGTCCACGGAAAATGTCATTAAAATACAATGGAATTCTTCCACAAACTTTCACAAGACCCCTGGGTAATTGTTGTTAAGAGGTGTCATGTGTCAGAGTAGAACTGCCCCATAGTTTTCTAGGCTATCATTTTAACAAGAGCAAATCACCAGCTCTTTTCTCCAAAAGAGCCACTGGGTAGGTTCCAATGGCCAAACTTTTGGTTAGCAGCTGAACACTTAATCATTGTGCCACCAGGAACCCTAATAATAAATATGTTGCTGTTGTTATTATTCCTAAGTGCCATCAAGTTGGTTATAACTCATACCAACCCTGTATAGGGTTTCTGAGGAGTGGTTGGTGAGATGAAAGCGTATTTGTAATAAAAGGACAAATGCTATATGATCCTGCTTATATGAAATGCCTAGAATAGGTAAATGTATAGAATGCAAAGTTTATTAGTGGTTATTAGGGTTGTAAGAGAGAAGGAACGAGGGGCACTGAGCGTCTATGATGGGGAAATTTGGAAACTGATGGGATGCTGGTTTAGTAATACGATGAATGTAATTAATCTTACCTATACCACTGAATGGTATATGTACAAAAATGTTGCAGAGGTAAATTTCACAATTAAAAATTAAAATTAAAACAATATTTAACTTACATTACCAAAAACATTCTGAGCAATCATTGCCCTGGACTATAGTGGCCTCTTGTCAACCTGTGAAGATGTCACCAGAGGGTGCTAGAGAGTAAAGCGGAGGACCCGGGGATCCCCATCTCTCCCTGCACTCCCTCTCATCTGGTATTTCCCTAAACTTTCTAGTTAACAACCCAAGAGCCCAATACACTTCCCTATCACAGTCTCCTTGGTGTTCTCAAGGTGGGAATTTCCCTGGGGCCAACATGTCTGTGTACCTCAAACAGTTGGTACTTCTCTCTACAGGCAAGAAGGGAGGGCAGAAGCCATGACCCAGGGGCCATGACCCCAGGTAGAGAAGCTGCTGGATGAAGCCCAGGAAGAGTAAAGCAGAAGACCTACCTTCCACGGAAATGTCTTGGATGGCAAAGCGAAGGATGATGGTCCAGATCATGCCCAGCGTCATCTTCACGTTCCCATCCACGATTTCTACAGAAACACCAGCAGAACACGTTAGGGTGGGCTTTAGCAGAGACACAGGCAGACTTCCCTGAGGCTCCACTTGAGGAGGGGAGTAAACAAGTTAGTGTGGGCGGACAGACACAAGCTTCTGTCAAGGGCGATGGAAACGTTCAGGAAAGATGATGAAGAAGCTTAATATCGCTGAACTGCATGCGTGAAGATTATGAAATGGCAAATGTTTGTTACCCAAATATTTACTATAATGAAAACAAAATACAGTTCCACAGGTGCCAGGAGGGAAATCTGTTTGGGGGCATCCTGAGGATACATGGGGGTTGAGTCAATTGCGCTTAGAGATAGCAAGGGGCAACAGAAAAGGGATGGCTTAAACAGGAACGGTGTTCACCAGTCAAACTGGGGTGGGTGGTTGGGGAGCGGTGTTTCTAAGCCATCACAAATGTTCCGGCAGTCCTGTGAGCAGAGGAGCCCTGTAAAATCACAGCTCTCAAAACTGCATCCACACACCAAACACCAGTGCAAATAACAGAAAGTAACAAGTGAAACACCATTTTTTTGTAAACCGCCATCTTGAATGATCCAGTAATTCACAATCTACCTCATAATGTCATTGCTTTTGTTGTTAAGAGCTGTTGAGTTGGTTCTGACTTGTGGTAACCCTATATAGGGTTTCCGAGGAACAGCTGGTGAGTCTGAACTGCCATGCCAACCTTATGGTTCAAACCGACCTTGCAATCTAGTGCTTATTCTACAGTGCTACACCAAGACTCCACATATTGTTGTTAAGTGGTGTCGAGTCGGTTCTGACTCACAGCAACCCTGTTTAGGGTTACATGGTTTCCAAGATGCAGTTGGTGAGTTTGAACCACCTATCTTATGGTTCATCAAACAGACCTTGAGGTCCAGTACTTATCTTATACCATTATATTAAGCTGGGTATTAATTGTTGTTGTCAAGTGCCGTTGAGTCGATTCCAACCCATAGCGACCCTGTATAGGGTTTCCAAGGAGCAGCTGGTGAGCTTGAACCACCGACCTTGCAGTTCAAATGGCTTTGCAGTCTGGCACATTAACCCACAGGGCCACAGCTAGGAATCCTGGGTATTAATTAGTTGGGTATTAATGTCATTAGTTGGAGTCCTGGTATGGTACTGTAGAATAAGCACTAGATCACAAGGTCAATGTGAACTGCAAAGTAGGTGGTCCGAACTCAATGGCCACTCCTCAGAAACCCTATACAAGGTTGCTGAGTTGGAACCAACTCTATGGCACTTAACAACAACATCATTAGTTGGGTATTAAAACAGGAATTCTAAAACCTAACTAGCTTCAAGATCAGGATGAAGAGGCACCCCACCCTACCTACCACATTCCGTCAGAGCAACACTTTTTGGATTTTTAAATACTATAAATTTCATTCATTTTTTTAAAAAGTTTTTTTTTTCCTGTAACAGGCCTAGAAGCAGGGGATACAAACACAAGGAAGCCCTTTAAGATGCTAAGCTATTTATGTATGGTCTTTGTGGTTGAAGCAACACTCAAACACATTGAAATGTTAACTTTTCATCCTTATCTGCTTTTAGACATGGTATCCTGGGGCTGTGTATTCTCAGCTAAGAAAGGCTCCCAGAGAACATCTTAAATTTTCCTGCCTGCCACACTCTAGTTTCAGGGAAGGTCAGGAGGAATCAGGAGACCGAAACTTCCAGGGATTACTAAGAAGGCCCACTAGGGTGGCTGTTGTTAAGTTCCATCAACTTGGTTCCAACACATAGCAACCCTGTATAGGGTTTTCGAGGAGAGGCTGGTGAGTTTGAACCATTAATATTGTGGTTCACACTGACCTTGCAGTCCAGTGCTTACCCTACAGCACCACACCAGGATTCATAAATAGCGTTTCTGAGGCTGTCAATCTATATGGGAGCAGAAAGTCACATTGTTCTCATGCAGAATAGCTGGTGGATTTGAACTGCTGAAAGATCTTCTCCTTCTCCCTCAAAAGTGAAGGCAAAATTCCACACTGCTCTATGACCAGCCTACAGAACACGCCACAGCTGCTCCCTGGAGGCAGGTCAAGGTGCTGAGGACAGTGGCCAGTTTGGACTTAGGACTGGATGTAACTCTCCCTGCTAGCCCACCCACTGCTATTACATTGATTTTTGACTCATAATAACCTTATAGGGGAGAGTAGATCTGCCCCCTTAGGGTTTCTGATACTATAAATCTTTATGGGAGCAGACAGCGTCATCTTTCTCCTTCGGAAGGGCTGGTGGGTTTGAACCATTGACCTTGCAGTTAGCAGCTCAATGTCTAACACAGTATGCTACCAGGTCTCCTGCTAGCAGGGAGGTTTAAAGTGCCCTTCCAGTGCCCCAGGCACCACATCTGAGGACTTGGGTTGGAGGGGCACAAAGAACCTTAGCTGTGCACACACATATTTGTTTACATGTTAAACAAAACGCCATTGTCTTACAGAACACATTGGAGCGAGGCAGAATCTTCTGTGGAAAATCAGCTTACAAAGGTTTGGCATTTTATCTGTAACTTGCAACTTGGTTTAACATGTTTAAAGAGTTTATATCAATTGGTAAGAAGAGTTGTACATCTCAACAGACAAACAGGCAAAAGTAACAAATAGACAATTCATAAAACATGAAATGCAAATAGCCACTTCACTCATTCGTAATCAAAGAAGGACCATTTTCCCAGCTATTACATTAACAAAGTGAAACACACACAGACACACACACTTCTGGATACCAACAGGGCTACACTATAGCTGGAAACTTGTTAAAAATTGGAACAAAACAAAAACAACTTTTCAGCAATCTGACAACAAAATTCTGTCTTTAGGATTCTAGCCAAGAGAGTAAGGTTTCTGTATGAAGGTGCTTATTGTGCGGCTATTTAAGTTGGAATCTGTGGGGATGTAGAAAGTATAAAGAGCAACTGAGTAAATCCAGGCCCCATCAGCCCTCTGCTCGAAGGTTCCACGGCTTTCACTTCACTGTGAGTCAAAGCCAGTGAGCAGTCTGGTCAACTGGTCAACTGGATCTACAGCCATCCTCCAGACCCTCAGCAGCCACACAGGCCCCTCACCACCACCACCCCTCCCCTTCCCAGGTGTTACCGTGTATGTTGTATGGTGGTGGCCTGTGTAATGCTGTGATGCTAGAGGATACATCACTGGTATTTTTACATACCAGCAGCGACACCCATGGTGGATAGGTTTCAGCAGAGTGACCAGATGAAGACACTAGGAAGAAAGGTCTGGCAATCTACTTATAAAAATCAGCTAATGGGAGACCCTATAGATCACAACAATAAAGTGCTGGAAGATGAGCCTCCTAGGTTGGAAGATGCTCAAAACAAACAGTGGCTGCAACCCTGGATTCAAGTGTCCCAACATCGTGAAGATGGTGCAGGCCTGGGCAATACTTCATTCTCTTACGTATGGGGTCCCCCATGACTCAATGGCAGCTGACAATACAACAGAAGAGGCTCTGCTGGTAAAGCTGCAGCTCGGCCTTTCTAGAAGCATGGAGACAGCACAGGGCTGGCTGTGCTCCAAGCCAGCCCCAGCAGCCCACACACACCCCACTCTGTGAAGGTCAAATACCTGGGCCTCCCACTGGCCTTGAGCTCCGTGCCAGCAGATCTGCCTTGAACTAAGCAGACTGCTTCTTTTTTGGGTCTTTCCTACTTACTTCTCTCCCTGGTTTCCAAACTCTGCAGCCCCTCCCCCGCCCCCACACACCCAAGACTTCTGCTTACTGAATTCTCTCACCCACACCAACGAAAGCCGCTCTGCTCCAGAAAACAGAGGAGCCATGTGTGGGCAAAGAGAATGGAGTGTGTTCAATTCATCCTGCCCTCAGAGCTAATCCTCCCAGACGGTGTGGAAAATGGCCGGCCCTTTCCCCAGGTGTCGCCTCTCATAGGAAGCCTCATCTCAGGGCGTCAACTGGAGTCCTGGACATGTGTCTGCTGTTCCTGATTTACAACTGCTGTGGAGCTGTTCCCATTTGGGGTTTCTCTCTTTAGCCTGCTCCGGACACAGTCATCCACCCACTGTTCAGATGGAGAAATAAATGCTGTGCTGAAGGAATTCAACATGGCAGACATGAGAATCCCTTCTCATGTCTCAGCTATTGCACCTACGGCCCCCTCGCTCCTTCAGAAAGGTGCAAAGTCACTGAGATCTTGGCAACCAAAGACATCAGGCCTTCCCTACCCAAAGGTCTTAAAATAAAACTTCTTCTTGGTCCTCTCCTCCTGGTCAAATCCCAGCCACTCCTCCAGTCTCAAGTTTATGAATCAAAAGTCCTACTCAACGGATGTTAGCAACATCGGAGAATCAAGTATCAGAGAAAAAGCCTAAAGTAGTCATTCTACCCATTCCTTGATGTATAGACATTCTGGCCTCTATCCGGCCTTCTGTGAACACCTTCAGAAACAGGAACTCATTACCTCCCCATGGCACCTATGCATTCCCTAAGGTTCTGCATATTAGCCAGTCTGCCTACTCATGGGGTCTCTCTTCTGGGCCTTGGTCTGCCACTTGGAGAGTCTGTTCATTGCACTGTATGATAACCCTTAAAAGATTGGAGGGTCTACCATTCCCACCCCCACTCTACCATTCCCACCCCCACAGCCTCCAGAAGTCCAGGAAGCATCTCAGCCAGGAGACCTCTTTTCAGGCCAGCTGTCCACCTTTTACTTTATAGTTCAGAGCTGTAAACTACATTACACTAACATACACAACCCACGTGGGGCAGCATCTCATTCCCTGGGTGATCTTGGTGCTTTGCTACAAGCAGGGTGGATTCTTCCAGCTCAGGAACCTCAGCTAAAAGTGCTGGCATGCTAGGGGTATCAAGGAGGGAAGGTATATATCATCTTAAAGGACCTTTAAAAACTTGACCCACTTATCAGAGGGGGTTATTTCAAAGTTACTCCAAGAACAGCCAGTTTGAACCACCATTACAACTGAAGAAAGTCAGACAAGAAAGTTACGTGGCCTGGGATGACAGCTAGGCCTAGTGGCAATGCAAGTGGAGTCCAAGTGCCTGGATGTATCCAGGTGGTAGAACCTGTGCTCAACTGCACCCCACTCTTTCACTCAGCACGTTTCCTAAGCCTCAGTTTCCTTGGTTACAAAATATGGTTGACACATGTCTTGAGAGCTAAGGAGTAAAACCCACATAAAGCCGCCTGTCCAGCAAGTACTTGGGTGCTTAGGTATTCAAGGGCTTTAATGGAAGAAAAAAACCACAAAATTGCTATTGTTGTTGTTGTTGTTATATGCCATCAAGTCGGTTCTGACTCATAACGACCATGCATAGGATTTCCGAGGAGCAGCTGGTAGATTTGAACCACCAACCTTGCAGTTAGCAGTTCAGTGCTGACTTTGTTTAAAAAATTGGAAGAGTCAGTAACACTGGATCTGTAGTCATACAGGGTAGCTGCTGGGTAGATGTACGTGGTGCCTCGCCTCTGGGTGGTGTAGTGATGAATGTACTTCACTGCAAATTACTTACAGGGTACCTGCAGCACACGTAGGCTCCGCAAGGTCTTAGGGCAGAGCCCTCCCTTCATCCACCCAGTGTCTGCACACGCACCCTCTCCCAGCCACCAAGCACAAGCAGGTGTGTGGATGAGGGAGCAGCACCCCACACACAGGATCAAGAGCGCCAGGATTCAGCTGGGGGTGGGGAGCAGGAAGCAGGGAGAGCACGCTCTTGATTTGGAACAGTAGAAGGGGACTCTGGGGTAGATAGAAATGCTGTCATGTAACCAGATGGAGACGTTGACTCCAGTGATGTATGAGTCTAGCAATCAGGGCAGGAAGGGCTGAGGGAACCAGGAGGGCACAAAGCTTACTCAGTATAGCCAAGGGGCAGGTCTCACTCACCTTCAGCTCCAATGGACACCAACTTAACCCCTTTACTGGCTATGAAGTCCAGGGCCTTGTTGACATTGGAGATCTTGTGTACCCTCATCTTGCCTCTCTCTGGCTTGGCCAAGCGTTCACCTGATTGAGACCGAGAGGGAGGGAAGAAAGGTGAGATGCTATATCCAGTATGCTCCACCACACCCTCATCAGGGCTCAGCTGCAAAGGGACACAGGTGCGGAGGGCCTCTTGGGTGCGGGAGGAAGAGAGGATCTGCCCTGCTGCTCCCTTCTTCCACTTCTCAGATCTAAACCTGCCTTCAGCCTCTCAACAATTATTTCTTTAGCTCCTAGCATATATGTGCTAAGAATATGGTGATGAACCAATGAGACCGGTTCCTGTCCTCCAGTACTTACAATCTAGTAAGAGAGCAGAGCTTAAATAGAAACATGAATGAATAAACAGCAACAAGAATAAGTGCTTTGAAAAGACAGGGAGAAACTACTGCCTTCTTCACCGTAAGACCAGAAGAACTAGACGGCACCCAGTTCCCATTACTATATGATTTCATCAAAGGCTCTAAGCTTCTCCTCTCACTTTTTGAGATGCTGCAATCAATTTAATCTCACAGACGACTTTTTTTTCTATAGAGGAATCCTAATCCAAAGGACTTTTCAATAGCCTCATATGCAAAACTTGGAGAGTGAACATAGAAGAACTGATGCATTTGAGTTATGGTGTTAGAGGAGAATATAGAAAGAACCATGGGTTGTCAAAAAAAAAAACAGATCTGTGTTGGAAGAAGTGCAGCCAGAGTGCTCCTTGGAAGGCAGGATGGCCAGACTTCGTCTTTCATACTTTGGACATATTGTCAGGAGGGACCAGTCACTGTAGAGGGATATCATATTTGGTACAGTCGAGGGTCGGAGAAAAAGAGGAAGACCCCCAATGAAATGGACTGGCACAGTGGCAGCATCAGTGGGCTCAAACATGGCAATGATTGTGAGGTTGGCCCAAAGTCAGGCAGCATTTCATTCTGTTGTGCATAGGATCACTATAAGTCAGTACCTATTCAATGGCACCTAACAACAACAATCCAAAGGAAAAAAAAATATAAAACAGAACTTCAAGTTTTCATGGAACACAGACCTATGAGCCACTGGGGCTGGATGGCATTCTAAACTATTGCCCTGAGTGAATCTTTAAACTTTAAATCTTACACTAAAATTATCCCTTGATGTCATTTAAACAAAACAGTTGTTTTGCTTAATTAGAATATACAGCCTGTCTTGAGCATTGTTTTCTTTTTTAAAAAAAAAATCATCTGTGAAATTAAATTGATTACAGCATCTCAAAAAGTGAGAGGAGAAGCTTAGGCATTGATGCGGAGATGGAGACCATCAGAAAATGGTATCGAGAAAGGTGGCACAAGTGGAAGAATGGTACAACCACGTCCCTGAACTATACATGCAGAAACCGCTGAATGGATGCCTGCTCTGCTGTGTGTAGCTTCACAAAAGAAAAAAAGATGAAGAGGAGTGAGCAGAATCAGAAGATACTAAGGCATGTTCAGAGGAGCCCTTTCTGAATAGAAGGGCAGCCAGGTAAAGACTGCAGGAATGGTGAGCATGGCAGAAGGAACCGCATATGCAAAGTCCTGAACTCCTTCTTGTTGTGAAGTGCCGTAGAGTAGCGACCCTGTATATAGGCTTTCCCATAGCGACCCTGTGTATAGGCTTTCCAAGGAGCAGCTGGTGAGCTTGAACCGCCAACTTTGCAGTTCAAACACCTTTGCAGTTTGGCTCATTAACCCACAGCGCCACATCAGGACTCCCAAACTCCTTCTAGACTGGACTGTTTTACCCTGGCAGGGAGTGTGGGGCCCTCCAGAGAATTGTGGAAACATTCCACAGGTGTTTAATGGAACTGCTCAGTGTCCCACCCCCATGTGAGAACCACTCTCCTGTTCTGCTGCGCTGCCTCTCTGAGCACAAGACTCGCTCGGCTCTATGCGGGGGCTTCTGCTCAGACTTCAGGGTCAGATGGTGCCGGGCAACACGGGCACAGCAGCTGTTCTCCAAAACCCCCATTTTTGTTGTTAAGTGCCGTACAGTCAGTTCTGATTCACAGAGAGCCTGTACAGGGTTTTTGAGGAGTGACTGGTAGGTTTGAACCGCTCACTTTGCAGTTCAGTACTTATCCTACAGTGCCACACTAGAACTCCAAAAGAACACTTATATCCTAGAACAAAGGATGGCCATGAAACCACCTGAAATAGGTCTAGATATAATGCAGATGCTCATACCTGGGAAAAGGTACAAAGATTTCAAAGCCTCTAAGTAATCAGGGACCACAAAGGCTGAGAACCACTGCTCTAGAGCCTTCCGTGATCACCTAGCCCTGCCTAACTGCCTTCTGAGAGAGCCAGGCCCACCCCATAAACACTGCACTGCTAGGTTTATGACTAAATCCAGACGACATGCTTCAGGGAATACTTGAGGCTCTTCTGCTCCAGGTACTGTGGTTGCTGCCAGCCTCTCCAGCAAGGTGTCCACCATCTCCTGTCCAGGGGAGAAGCCACAGGATGAATGGACCCAGTCTTCCCAGGAAGGCTGCTTCTCCTACTGCGCTGGGGTCCCTCTGAGCCCCCTTCTCCCCTGTTGTGCACACTGGCTGGGTTGGGAATTCCCCAATAAGGACAGCAGAGGGGCAACATAGGCCTAAACCCACTCTCTCAAACTCTAGTGTGAGTAAAGATCCCTGGGAAACTTTGCTGAATTGTAGCTGCTGGCTCCATTTTCACTGCTCCCGAATTTCTGACTTAGGACCTCTGGAAAGGGGTCTGGGAATCTGCATTTTGAATAGCACCCCAGGAGCACACTTTGACAACCTCTGTAAGCAGCATCTCCTTCCTGCTCCTTGGTCCCTATCATCCTCCCAACTCGGATACACTTAGGAGGAAAAGGCAATGAACAAGCAGCTTGGTGATTGGTTCTCTCTAGCACTGGGCAAGGATGAGTCTGCTCCAGAAAAGCCCTAGATTCCCCTGGAGACAGGCTGGGTCCTGGCCACTCAGTCATGCCCGTATATGTTGAGTGTCATCTACATGCTAAACACAGTTCCATGCACTCTGGGACACAGAGTTGAGAAAGTCCATGCTCCAAGGAGCTCAGGGTTAAGTGGGACAGAAAAAAGCCATGTGGTATGTGCATGACACAACAGAGGAGTTAATGGCTGTGGCGCTATAGGATAAACATTGGACACAATACTAGGTGGCTTTGATCCACAAGGCTGGAGGTTCAAATTTACCAGTTGGTCCTTAGAAACCCTACAGAGGGTTGCTATGAGCTGGAACTGACTCAAGCGTATTTTAACAATAACAACAATGATGATTCCTGAGTTATGCAAACTATTAACACTCCAGCTGCTAACCTCAAGGCTGGTAGTTTGAATCTACCAAGAGAAGAAAAGTCTGGCAATCTACTAGTAAAACATCTGCCACTGAAAACCGTACAGGGCAGAGTACACATGGGGTCACCATGGTTACAATCAATGCAACAACAATTGTTTTGCTTGTTTGTTACGTTTGTTTGTTATTTTTATAAGTGCCCAGGAAGACGGCCAGCTCAAATTGGGGTAGGGGAGTCAAGGAAGTCTTCTAAAAGGGAACTCCCCCAACCCTGAGCAGAGAGTGAAAAAGACTAAAACCAGGTTTTTTTCTTTAAAAAAAATAAAATAAAATAAATAAAAATTAAGAAGTGTTGGGGGAGAAGGTAGGGAAGAACCATCTAGAAGGAAGTTACTGTTGCTGTTATGTATCATCGAGTCGGTTCTGACTCAGCAACCCTGTATAAGGGTTTCTGAGGAGCAGCTGGTGAGCATGAACCACCAACCTTGCAGTTCAAATTGACTTTGCAGTCTAGCACATTAACCCACAGCGCCACACCAGGACTCCCAGAAGGAAGTTAGTTAGAGTTTGCATAAAGAACAGAGGTCAGAGCTCGCCACCTAGGAAGAACAGCATTACTCTCCATTTGACAGGGGGTCTGATACTTTTTTAGAATCCCACTACCATCAAGACAAATCTGAGTCACAGTGACCCTCTCGAAGGTTTGTGGAGCAGCTAGTAGATTTGAACCACTGACTTTTTGGCTAGCAGCTTAACTATTTTGCCATGAGGACTCCTTTTAGGGAACTAGGTGGTTGAGAACAAAGCAGATGCCAGCTCAAGAAAGATCCTGCAAACTATGCTAAGAAATGTGGACTGCCAGCTCAAAGCTCTGGGGAGGCAGCAAAGGGCTTTGAGCAGGGAACAGCATGACCATATTTGGCTTGTAGAGAACCATGCTGGCTGGTGGGAGGGAGGGGGCTTGGGATCATCTAGCTGAGAGCTGACACTATGATAGAAGAGCTTAAGAGAAGGTTACAGAAAAAGGAAATACAGCGAACAGAATTTGAATGCCAAGTTGAAAAGAGAAACAAGAAAGAGCCGTTTCAAACAAATTCTAGATTAGACACAGGAGAACGGATGAACAGTGATAACATTTATCAAGACCAAGATGAAGCACATGAAATGAGGTTTGTTAGGGTCAGGAGCAATAGTACAATTTTGGAATTAACTCCAATTTTGTGGACACTTTGGGACAGCTGAGTGGAGATGCCCAAAGTGTTTCAGCATTTAAGGCGGCACTCATGGCAGAGGTCTGGACTGAGCCTCTGTCTGGGACTAACTGGCATCCAGGTAAAAGGTAAAATAAAGAGGGTGGCGAAGCCTTCCTAGAGTACGAACCAAAGCTAGAATCTTCAGGACAAACCATCTTTAAGGGTCCTGGTGTGGCACTGTGGGATCAGCACTGGACTGTTAACCACAAGGTCTGTATCTCAAACCCACCAGCCAGCCCCCTGGAAACCCTACAGAGGTGCTAGGAGTCACAGTCGACTCAGTGACCCTAACAACAACTTCTAAGAGACAGTGAAGAAAAGGTACCCAAAAGAAAGCTAGATGGACACTCTAGTGGAACTGCTCCTCAAGGTATTTGGATACCCAGATTCTAAGCTGGAGGTGACAGGCCTGAGATCACCTGGATATAAGTAGATAGGGAACAGTAGAGCCAAAGTTTGGAGACAGTCACCCACAAATGTGTTCTTGACCAGAGAATCCTTGTATTTTAGAGAAGGGACTCCAAAGACTACCCTCTAGACCCCTTCTTTTTGTAAATGAGGATGCTGGGGCAGACGGGCCAAGTGACCTGCCCAAGGACATACAGAGAGTGGCAAAGCCAGCACTGAGCCCAGTCCTACCTGTCTGCATCTATCCATGCCTTCCCCAACTTCCTTCAGGAGGGCCCAAACTTGGCAAGCACCAAGAACTCAGAGCAGAAGCAGAGGGGTCAGGGCAGCATTCCCAAAGTGGCCTAACACAGCAGGCAGCTGGGGTGGGGTGCCTGCCCACCTGGCATCACTTCTGTCCTGGATTCCCAAGGCCAGGGATCCACCTCACCTGAGATGACTTCAAGCAGCAGCATGAGCTTCAGGCCATCCCGGAAGTCCTCCTCGATGTTCTCTATCTGCGTACCCGCCTTACGGAGGTGGGAATTACACCATGCTGTGAATGTCTGGCAAAGGAAAAAGAACAAGCGGTCAGTCTTCCCACACAAGTCACATGGTCTGTGAGGCGCCCCAAGAGAAAAAAGGTAAGTATTATGTGTAGTGTGTATCTGGGGCATAGAAGAGACTCCTTAAGGTACAAACACATGAGGCAGAATCCCAGAAAGGGAATGGACAGATGTTAAATGCAAAGATGGTCAACTTTGGAATTTTCTAGTTTGTGAGAGATAGCAGCTACATTGAAACGTCTTGGGTAATAAGTAGATCAAGATCAGGTCCCACCACAACCAAACTGTTTGGTGACAATAGCACCACCTGGTGGCTCAAGCAAGCCAATAGATAACTCACAAACATGAGACACAAAATTCACTCAATTTAATAGTTAAGAGTCGGGCTGCTAACCTCAAGGTCAGCAGTTCGAAACTACTAGCTGCTCCACGGGAAAAAGATGAGGCTTTCTGCTCCTGTAAAGACTTACATCCTCGAAAACCCCGTACAGGATCGCTATGTTGGAATCAACTCCACGGCACAAAACCACCACCACCATCTAGAACTCATCTGTCACATTTTATGGGAACCTGAAAGAAGGAAGAGGTCTGGTGCTTTTGATCGAACACATTATTTGGCAACTCCAGACTTCTCTGTACCAAATGGCACCATCATAGGGTTCAGTTCAGCCAACAGTAGGGCCAGTAAGTTCTCTTCCTGTATGCCCTCCAAGGGTGTTATGATGTATGACTCATCAGAATAGTAGCCACATTAGAAATACCCCTCCTCCTAGAAAAGGTCACCAGACTCATGGCCCCTACCACTTCCTCCTGCCATGGGGAACTCCAACGTGAAAGTGATGAACCAGGGATGGGGGGTTGGGGGGGTGCCATGCAAGTGACTGTTAGAGGGAATGAAGTACCTGCTTAGGTTCACACTAAGAGCTGACGAGCCACCAAGAAGGGGGAGTAAAAAGATAAGGCATCAGTTCACAGTGGTGATAAGGAGGGGATGCTGTAAGACACTTCCTCCACTTGTGGCTTTCTTGTTAAATCATGTCTCATTAGTAGCCTGGTGGTTGCAAGTTGAGATGCTAACCTCAGGTCATCAGTTTGAAACTACCAGCTTGTGCAGGAGAAAGATGAGGCGGAAGAAAGATTTACAGCCTCAGAAACCCCATGCAGGGTCACTATGAGTCAGAACCGACTCCACGGTACACAGTCACCACCGCCACCTGCAGAGACCTCCACCTGTTGGCCAGCCCCACTCTCACAATAAAGAGAACAGGGGAGTGCATACTATCCCAAGGTTTTTAAAAGACTGGCACATAGACTGGGGGTGGGCAGGGGCATACACTGACTTCTCAGCCTGGAATTCCTCCGTATCTTACTTGGCTAACTCATATTCATTTTTCAAGATTGAGACAAAACATCACCTCCTCTAGGAAGTCTTCCTGATTGATAAGACACTGCTATATCTGGGTTGAGCATACAGAGCTACAGCACCCTGCATTCATGACATCATTACCCATATGACACTGGACAGTAAATGCCTGGCCACATGCTGGTTCTATCCCTTGCCTTCCTTCCTCTTCATTCCCATCACCACCACCACCTGGGGGCACCTAAAGACAGGGACTCAATCAATATTCACCTTTATGTCTCCAGAGTTCCAAGCACAGAATCGGGGATACAGCAGTAAGCAAGAACAAAAATCACTGTCCCTGGGCAGTGAGCATTTAGTAGATGGAAAATCGGCAACTGGATGAGGGAGCAAGTAAGAAACAGGCCAAGCTGGAGGGCCCTGCAAGGTTACAAAGCACAGCTGCAGGCGATGCAGACAGCACTGCCTGGCCCTCTCCCACTATAGCCGGATTGTTGTAGTTAAGTGCCATCAAGTCAGTTCCGACTCACAGTGACCCTTTATAGGGTTTCCAAGGAATGGCCGATGAGTTTGAACTGCTGACCTTGTGGTTAGCAGTCCAGTGTTTATCCTATAGCGCCACACCAGGACTCCCTCCCGCAAACCTTGTACTTGGGTTTTATCATTGTTATAACTGCTTTGTTGTTGTAAAACAATTATTAAAGGATTTTCATTTTTTAAATAAATACAATTTATCTTATTTTTCCATATTCTCTCCCAGTTGTCATCTGTCCACATGTCTCTTACCTAAATGCCACCACATTTTACTCATGTTTGGAGATGGAAAAACAAAAACCAGTTGCTAGTTTTTCCTAGTGACCCCATATGAATGAATCAGAGTAGAATGATGCTCCATGGAGTTTTATGGCTAAGATCTGAGGCCTCTTTTCTAAGGTAACTTTAGTAGGTTTGAGCCCAACCTGTCTGTTAGCTGCATAGTGCTTAACCTTCTTCACCACCCAGAGACTCCTTCCTTATGAAGGTCTTTCTGTCCATTGACCACCATGTTGTATCGCCACTGCCCCTTGCTCTCCTCAGATACCTTCTAGACCCCATTCAGCCTTCTGTGAAGAGTTTTCTCCTGACTCAAGGGGAATCGGTTAACCCTAGAACTCAAGAGACTGTTCAATCCAGTATGGCCAGGGTCCTGGGGAAATCGCCTAGTACCCCCAGAGTTGACAGCTGTGAAATCTCACTGTGTTTACTGCTCAGTGGTGGGGTGGAGTGGGGAGCAAGAGGAAGCAAAAAGAGAATACTTTTGTAAAGAGACACTGCTTTTGAAAGAGGAAAAGCTATGGGGAAAACAGCCGTCTCACTTCCTGGGGAAGCCAGGCTGAGCACCAGAGACCAAAACATACCTGCGCTTGTTCAGGCGTCCAGTACAAAGCCTTGGAAACTGAGTTTTGCTAGAACTCCAAACCCCTTGTTCCTGGCCCCCACAAGGGTCCTACTTTGCAGGTCTACCCAGGGCCCTGAGCCCCTCCCACTTTCAACTCTGTTCCCCTGACAAACAGCACCTACTAAGAAGTTCAGACCCAAATAAGACACGGTGGCAGCAAGAAATGGTGGCGAGCATGCCAAGGATCAGCCAAGTCTGGACTCAGTCTCGCTGTGTGATATCCAGATTTATCTCCCTGAACTCCAGCTTCCTCAACAATAAGATGGGGATGGCAATTATCGCTAAGCGCTGTGGAGTTGGTTCTGACTCATAGTGACCCTGCATGGGGTTTCTGAGGCTGTAAATCTTTCTTCCGCCTCATCTTTCTCCTGCACAAGCTGGTAGTTTCAAACTGATGACCTGAGGTTAGCATCTCAACTTGCAACCACCAGGCTACTAATGAGACATGATTTAACAAGAAAGCCACAAGTGGAGGAAGTGTCTTACAGCATCCCCTCCTTATCACCACTGTGAACTGATGCCTTATCTTTTTACTCCCCCTTCTTGGTGGCTCGTCAGCTTCATGGGAGAATACTGAGACTACCTGGTGAGCTTGAACAGGCCCTTGTGGTTCGAGGTCCAGTGTTTATTGTACAGAGCCACTATGCTCCCAGGGATGATAACAGCACTTCATATGTCAAGAGGACTAACCAGGTAATAGTTATAAAGTGCCTAACATTTAGCAAATGCTCAATAAATGGTAAAATGAAGGAAAGGGACCAGGTTCCCTGACATGCCTGGTGACAGTCCCCAAGGACTTGATCCTGCTGCTAGCCACCCACGTCCACCTGTCAGAACTCACCTGTCCTAGGTTTCCTTAAAATACTGGATTGTGGTTCCAAGATGACAACCTGTCTGAAGAGTTCTTTTTAAATGGTGCCACCATGTGGACACAAGAGGTTCAGAGTATGGTGTGGGGGCAGATCACCTATGACTATGATGCTGTGGGCCCCAACAGAAGAGCCGAATGGGGAATGAGTAGGGAGAGATCAGTCTCACGATATGGGTCCTCAGCGTACACTACCCCATAATCTTTCCTCTAGCCCAGGGCTGACCTGGTCTTGAGGCTCAAGCTTTATTCCTCTGCATTTTGACAGGAGTACCCCTGCCCCTTAAGGAGCTCTAGTAACCTAGTGGTTACAAGTTGGGCTACTAATCTGATGGACAGCAGTTTGAAACTACCAGCGGTTCCATGGGAGAAAGACAAGGCTTTCTGCTCCCATAAGAATTTACAGCCTCGGAAACGCTATACAGGGTTCACAATGAGTTGGAACCGGAGCCACGACACATAACCACCACCACCACCACCCCTGCCCCTTAGCAGTGCTGAGGGGGCTCCAGAAGGAGTAAGAAGCCCACAGTTGAGGCACTTGAGACCATGGCCCCTACCAGCCCCAGCAGGTTTAAGGTCCAGTCACATTCAAATAAAGGGGAAGGGGACACTTTATTGCTTTGATTCCAACCAAGCCCTTCCCCTTGTTCCAAGTGTCCCATTATTCTGTTCTTTACCCAGCCCTACGGCCTACATCCTGGGCAAGGGGAGGAGATATAGCTCATAGTACACCTACTCTGTTCCAGAAAAGGAACTCAGGGCTTCTTAGGTTTTGGGAGAGCATGTGGGGCTGAGGGCCACGCTGGGAAGAGCTGTGGCAGACCCTCCTCCTTCTTTTGCCCACCCTCAGCCCGGCCACACAGCATCTCTGAGGGCTCTGGCCTAAAGGAGTAGTTGAGAGGGAACACAATCCCTGCTCAGACCCTGGTTGGCCCTGAAGCATCTACCATGTCAAATCAGGTGTAAAGGTAACTATCTGGTTCCAAACAGGGGTAGGGGTGCCTCCAAACGAGGAAGGGGTCTGTGGAGAGAAAGAAGCACCTGTGTCTATTCTCTGTAAGGGTCTTGGCTTGCTTGCACACAGATTCTGCAAGCATGTTTTTATTTTCTTTATAGCTAGCATTATATCAATATATTTCCTTAAAAATGTGTTTAAAGGACAGCTGGTTTTACAGAACACATGCTCCCTGCTCCCTAACTCAGATACACAGCAGCATATGACGTTAGCCCCACAGGACTCTTTGAAGCTGTTTAACATCTGTAACATGGGAGTAATAGTCTTGAGCAGAGAGTAGGACTACGATAAAGACTAAATAAAACCATGGAGT